GTAGACTTCCCTGACCTTGCAGTTATCAGATAGGTTTCACTGGCAGTACCCTTAAGTCTTAAGTATAAAGTGGGATTCAGTTTACAAAGCTAATGAATAAATTGTGAAGCTATTTCTCAGATCAAGATGTGCATGTTTTGATTATGAATTACATAGACCATCAATGGTTGAATTCAAATTTGAAGGTGCCTCAGAGCAGGGGTGTCCAATTGGCGGTCCGCTGGCCAGATCCAACCTGCCAATTCATTTTATCTGGCCCATGAATTCCTCTTTAGCAGTTGATTTTTTAAAATTGCTGCAAATTTCACTTGTTCGCATTAAAAATGTGGTGCATGTGGTGTGAGCATCGTTAGTGGGACCCTCAAATACACCTGGATCAAATCATTTGATCCCTGCCAAATTGAGTTGGACTTCCCTGCATTAGAGGCTATTTGAGTAAAGAAGTAGATCTATGGCTACTGGGCTTAATATTATGCTTTTTGAATATGTTGGATCAATGAATTAATGTGGCTTGCTGCTCTTGTTTTTTTTTCATTGTTGAAGTTTTCCTTCGGGTATCACTTGCAATTGGATGCCCTGAATTGTTAAAGGACCCTTTCATATCACACTTTAGGGTACTGGAGACTCTTAAAATAAGTAAATTATCACAACCCTTGACTAGGTCAGGCATAAGTGTATTGTATGCCTAAGACAAAAGGCTGTCATTATTGAGCAGCCTGGGTCTGTGAGGGAAAAATTGGTCAGGTATGATGTATTTTGTGTCCAGCCTCGCTGCACCACTTTCTCCCTGACAAATTTTCCTTTTCCTTCTTTTTACATTGTTGAGTGAGATCATACATCCCTCATGGAGAATACTTGGATTATTAAGACACCCTCTGCAGCATCATAACCATTCTGTTTTATATATACTTGGGAAATTTTTACTCACCCCTCTCAGGTCTATTTATTTATTGTTTTTTGCACTCCCAGTCAGTATGGGGATGGGTATCTTGATCCCACTTCTCTCTCCCATTGGTAAAAAATGGGGATTACCCAGTGTTATATACAGGAATGTGTGGCTCCACTCATTGATGGAGGGAGGGGAGTACAGTTTGCATGGTGCATATATGGAAGGTGCAAGTCAACCCTTTTGTGACCATGTTTTTTTTTTCCAAGTCAGATGTGGTAACATCTACTGATTCAGATCAACCTATGTTATTGTGTAGTTGACCCTCATACATTAGCCGGGAAGACTTCCGAAGTGGACCACCCCCAGAATGGCGCTAGAGATATATGGTATGAAAGTACTTTAGGAATAGGTTACAGTGATATGTGTTTCAGCTGAGAGAGTTGAGGTATGGAGGTGTAATATTAATGTGTTAATATAATGGTAATGCTCTACGTGGGCATCCTGGAGCAGCCATGTTACATGTCCCGCCCAGGCCATTGCGTCTGCTAGCTGTGCTATGGCCTTCCCAGGCATGCGCACTGTACCCAGGTCAAGTTTTCTTAGGCCCTTCTGGTCTAATCTTCATTGTTCTGGTGAGATCCGTCCTCACAGGGTCACAGTTAGTGTACCTAAGGAATTTTTTCCCCAGTTCGGTGTCAAAGGCCAAAGAGTGAGAAAGTCAGCCTGTTTTGGGAATGATGGGTCACTTGGGTTAGGAAAGGGTCGCGGCCAAAGGCCGCGATTATTTTCTAACCCAACTGACCCATCATTCCCAAAACAGGCTGACTTTCTCACTTTTTCGGCCAAATATAGAAGGAATGCGGCTCCCTTGATCTGTGTCTATCCCATCTTCTCTAATGTTAGTTAGTTTAGGTTTATAGTGAAAACCCAAAAGCACTGGTGAAACAGTGTGCGTCTAGCATTCAGGTGATTGATTTTATTCTTTTGGGGAATATGGGGTGCATAAGGTTACTGTTCCAATGAAAAGGGGCGCTCTCACCCTCTACTCAACATGGCTGCCCCCATGTTGAACATGCACATGCACGCCACTACTTGCCTGCTTAGCCTACAACTCACGCATCTTAAAATTTAAATTACTACTTCTTTTCTTATCTTTCTCAGCTAAAATATGCACCAACGCAATCTATTCATCAAGAGCTTGCAATTGATATATCACATGTACTATTCTGGGGGTGGTCCACTTCGGAAGTCTTTCCCATTAGCCATTCAAATCAGGTCACAGCTGTCCACATACCCCAGGAGGACTTATGGAATAAGTACTCTTGTTTTTTTGGATTTGAGGAAAGCAGAGAATGCCCTTCTAGGACCTGTACATGCTGCTTTTAAGTCATAAGTTAAGTGCTTTTATATCTTTTCATTGGTGTGAAATATACCTATCTATGTGCAATACTCCTCAGTAGTTTTTGTAGAGCATTGAGAAGAAGTGATGGAAAAATAAGCATTGAGCTAATGGCCTCCCTTAAACTAGGATCTTCAAGGAAATGGGACAAGTGTAGAGAACTGATAGAAAAAAGGAAAATCCCATATTTGTGAAGAATGAGAAAATGTCAAAGGGCTGTCTTCCTTGAGAAAAATAGTACAACGAAGATTTAACCTTCACGTTTCCCCGTCACTCTTTTTCTACCCCTCCAGTTACCCGTAACAGTGAAATAATAGACTAAATACGTGTACATCGACTTCTTACTCCTAACCCCTTTGATGAGTGTAATCTTGCCCTGAGAGATATTTAGATTGTCATTGTCTGTAAGGTGTTGAGAATTTCCCTCACATTGCAGTAATTTACCATGCATGTCTGAATTTTTTCTTAAGAATTGTATAGTTGATGATAGTCTTAGTCAATGTTTGGCTTGTGGGGCAGCTAATATGAGGACGTTTTTGCTTTTCTTAAGTGCTTCTTACATGTCTTTAAAGAATGCAGCTTGTCTGGTACTATATACAAATATTAAAGGGTGGTCTCTATATGAACCAAAGGCAAGTTTTAAGGATCCCTGTAAGGGTCTTTGAGAGCCTTGTGCCTTCAATGGTTTGTGTCTCATAATGTGATATTGGTATGTCATTTTTCAGTTGAGTTGTTCACATCTGTGAGGGGACTCAGTTTTGTTAGGCTACTTTATGGGTGGATATTGGCTCACTTAAGTTCGGTAGGAATTCATAACATAAAGTCTGTTATAATTTTCCTTGTTTTTTCAGGAAGAGGATGTCATGAGTGTGGTGTCTGAACAAAAAGGGAAAGAGCCTGTGAATGGAGCGCCTGAAAATCAGAAGAAGCAGGCATATGACTTAGACCCACTGGCATTCACATTAAAGAAGAGACTTCCTCATAGATTTCCAAAGCGATTCAATGACATATATGTTACTAGGAAGTCCAACTTCAAGGCAAGCCTATTCAGAGCATTCTACTTAATGGCTAGAGTAGCTTTTCTTCCTTTTATTGCTCCTGCAAATTTCTTTTGTCTGATAGGCATAGAAAGGAATATCCCTATCCTCATCCTGTTGGAGTTGGTCTAATGCAAGTATTGGTACTGATTTGTTTTTCGTGCGACATCGAAGCCAATATGATGAGCTAGTGAAAGACCAGCAAAGTGAATGTTTTGTTTGTATTGTTTCACGTTCTCTTTCTTTTAACCAGGCAAAATACAAGGTATGTGAGAAACTGATCGAATCGGGAGAGTCAGAACTTTTCATTCATGGACTTGGTGCAGCTGTGAACAGAGCAGTAAATTTAGCTCTTCAGCTTACTCTCCAATACCCTGAGGTGCTGGGAATCCATTGTAACACATCAACTGTGGAGCTCACAGGTGAATCTTTTGATCATTATGGTGGATTTTTCTGAGTTGAATGTTTGCATGAGTTCCTGCAATACATTTACCTACTGGTTGCTTGGTGCTGTACAGGTAAGACCAACTGATAACTGGTAGGATGATGCATGCAGCAGAAGCCAATCACATACAAAATGGCAATGACCAGGAATATGTCATATAGTCTGCTAATTAGATATGGAGGAGATAAAGAGCATCTCAATTAACCTAAATAGTTTGAAAAAAAAAATCTGGAATGGATTCATTGTAATTTTTCATATAGATTTTGCCTTTATGCAAGTAGTAAATTGATTGAAGTGGCAACTTTAGACAAGGTGCCTTTCACAAAGTATATACCAGTGTATGAAAAGGGATGTATATCTCAATCTCTGGAAAGAGAAGGATCTATGGGGTCGTGTACTGTCAAATCAACATTTATAAAAATGGAAAATTTGACCTGACTCTCTTCAAGTTTTATTAAATATGGTGGACTCAGAGGTTTGTAGAAAAACTAATCCATGTCAAATTTCAGATCAATTCAAGTTCAGACCTGATCTAGTACTATTTGAGGTGCAGGGGTTTTCAAGCTGCAAAGACTCACTGATTTTTGGTTAGGTGGCCATCACCTTAACATCCATTAAGGGGTTTCTCTCTAGTCATTAGGGTTTGCACAAATAACTCACAATCACAGAACAAAAGCCAGGGAAACCCATCTATTGATATTGGGATATGTTGAATAAGTGCCAGAAAAATGGGCTGCCATGGAAACAACACATCTTAAACTTCAACTGATTATCTTAGAGCAGTCCTAGTGAACATAGCTGATATTTTTCTAAACAACTTTAGCCATATTGTTCATACAATATGAGGAATGCAACCATGTAAAATGGATTAGTTGTGATCATCAGTAATGAAAAAATTTCAGATATTTGACATTTTCACCAATCTGATGACATCATTATGTATTCATGACTCCATGTTTTCACATACATGTATCCTATATTCAAAAAGTGCTTCATTGCACAGTCCAGGGGGTTCTGATGCGCTGTTCCAAATTTGGTGGTTCTAAATTCAATAGTTTTTGAGATATGAACCAGGGCACCATTACTTTTGAAACCCCATTTTTAAACCCTAGAGGCCCCTCAAGTTTTGTTCTATTTAACCTAGAAAGCTTAATTTGGTGTGCTCTTTTCATGCATATTTTTTTCATGGAGTTTTAATGGAAATGCTTGAATTTCAGAAAACACTGGAATTCCTGAAAAAAAAAAGTCACTTTAGGAAAAAAATTAACATGACATGAATCTCTTCTCTGTCAATACACCAAATTTTCATTTTGGACTGCCATGGGATCAAAAGATATGAAGAATAATGTGGCAGTAAGTGACCAAAAATCCTTACAAAATGTACAATTATTTTTTAGATACATTCAATTTGTGCAGATACTCAGGGACATATCTTTTGCCTATAGTAGTCCAAACTATCATGAAAATTCTTGAAATGAATATATTTCCAGGAATTTCTAGAAAGTTTTTGAAAGTATCTCAAGGTTTTAGGTTCTTAAGAGAAACTTCTAGATGAACTCTTGGTTATGTAAGAGTCCCCCTAGCATCCTCATGGTTATGCAAGCATTGTTTACCAGTTTGCATACTAGTTTCTCATTTCTTAGGTGTTAACATCTGGTGTGATGTGCTCCCTGATCGGGATGCCAGAGAGATGGATCAGCCACAATGTATCCATATTGAGGCATTAAAAAAGGAACCCACTGTTCTGAAACTCTTTGGTACTCATGAGACAGCAGATGAAACAACTTTTTTTCATAATTATTTCTCTCGTCTCAAACCATCCTGAAATTTTTATGTTTATCTCTGGCCATTTTACCCTGCCAATAATTTAAGGAAAGCAACTTGAGATTTATTCTTGCACTCACTATATGGCACTAGCCTTTGGACCTCTTGCTCTAGGAGTGACTCTTTCTAAACAATGTCAAATTCCTCATTGGCCCAATTTTCCTCGGTGTGAGTTAATTTTGTTCTCCCACTCCCTCTCTTCATGTCAGAGGAACCCATTTCTTGTAGCTTGTGAAACTATGTTGGCTGTACATTTCTTTTATTCTTTGCCTGGAAATCCTTGTTCAATACCTGCCCCACCCTATCCTTTCTCAAAATGACCAGCTATAATCACCACTTTATTGTGGTGATTATACCTGATTATACACCACCTCCACATGCATGGAGGGCCCCATTTTCCATTGTGCCATGCATATTTTCACAGGCAAACTGACCTGGAACTGGTGTGAACTATGTGTGCCGAGTACTTCCCAAGCACATTCCCCAAGTGAAAATTAAATTCATGTTGATTTCTTAAAATTGCTCATGCAATTTTAAAGTGACCAGATAAAATCAGGAAAGTATTTTTAGGATGTTTTATGGATAGGAAGAAGTAATTTGGTAACATTTATCCTGCTGTCTCATGAAGCCACAATTTCAGGGAGCAGGTATGGGTTTTGTGCCTCACTTTGTATTGACCATGATTTTGTTACAACCTTTTCATTATATTTTATAGATGATCTGGAATCACACAATGAAAGCATGGAACCAAGAACTCAGAAGAGGAACAATTCTGCAATTCACATTCGTGTCTACCGCCTAGCTCACTTCAAGCGGGAGTGACAATTAAATGAACCCTGACCATGCTGTTTACACTTGCTGAATTGGTGCGGTGGCTTGGGGTCACAATTTGTGAGATGTGGATCCAGACAGTGGCCATTCTCATCTTCTCCCTTCTCTTGCTCCTGAAACTAGACTTGGAACTGGAAATGTCTTGGTTCCTGGTCTTCCTCCCACTATTCATTGCTGATGGGTTGAATGCCTATTTCTGCATGATTGTCTTCATTCGCCAGTGCCTTGAAGGCACAGTGAAGGCAGCGTTCTTGCGTGCAGTGTGGAGCTACACGATCTGGGTCCTCATCTCCCTATTTCAGTTCCTCCTGTGTGAGAAGCTGGAAGGGAAAAATAATCTTGGATACTCTGAGGTCATGGCTGAAGTATTTGTCCTCATGCAACTCTTCATGGTCAGAGCCTGCCAACTATACTGACTTATTTTCTGCCAAGTGGCATTATGTCTGTGATGTCAATGGAGCCCAGATGATTGTGATGACCTGTGGATTTTCTGGTGAAGAGCTTTGTTTCATTTTCATGATCTTTTTTCTCTTTGACACAGTTCCAATTCTAAGTGTAATTGTCAAACAAGGGTCTCAGAAGTCTCAGAATTCAAGTCTCAGAAGACTTCTAATGTATTGAGATACAAAACAATTTATTACAATTGGAATTAGTTGCCAGTGAAGCTTAAGCATATTTGCTTCTATTTTCTTTGGAAGATTCAAAGGAAAAGACTCCTCAGAACAATCAAGTTAGAAATATATTTGGAGTTTCTCATTTGTGACCAGAAAATTATTCAATGTTTTTTTAAATCTTGAACTGTTGAAGGTATTGCAGATTCCAAAGCAGAATACAATGTAGGTATGGTTTTGGGCTTGACTCATGATCTCATAAAGGAAAATGCATTCTTATTTGGCATCTCTTATCGCCTTCAACTTGAAAGAGTCCATTCTCCCCCTTGCAAAAGAAAAGCCTGAAATCCTGTGACAAATAGATGCTGCAGTTAGAAATACCTGGTAGGTCTGCTGGCTTTTTTTTCAAGCATGAGTAGGTTCACTTCACACATCTAAGACTTGATTTTCTGCAGGAATCAATCCATGAAGAATGGATCGATGAGGACATGAAACTCCTCAAATTCCTGTTTCTTCTTGCTTAGCATTGTAAAAAAAATGTTATATAGGGGTGTACCAATGCCATAGCATTCTGGGAAATTGATCTGATATCCCATCCCTCTCCTTAAGGCTGTGCTGAGTGCTGCTCCCTTTGTTGACTGTATTATGGGGTTTCCAGCCATTGGAAGCCTGTATTGCCAGTTTTCCAAAACAAAAGTTAATACCCCTTTCCAGAAGAAACTGGGTATTCCTCTCAGCTGCTTGAGTGGATGTGGCATTTTCCATTTCAATGCTTGCAGCTCCTTTCTGCAATGACTACGAAATTCATATTGCTCTTATAGTCTTTGATTCAAAATGCCAATGTACAAGGGGGTATTCAGAATTAATGTCACTGAATTTATTTTAAGTTAAACATTATAGATATAAGGTTTAGGCTGAATGCAAGTGTTTAGTCATGTTACCCATGCATGTCCTATTTCTCTATACAACTTCCATCTCATTCCATGCATTTTTTCTAGTGTTTAAGAAGGGCATCAAAGTCTGCATGGTTCTTTTATCACACCATCTCCCATCATTGAGTACAGTATTGAAATTGACCAATTGACCATATCCTGTCATTAGTACATCTTAATTTTCAGCCTTTGAAAAATGCATAAAATGACTTAGGAATTTGATTGATATCAGGGGATGATGAATTCAGTTCAGCTTTATTCATTCATTTATTCATATTTATTTATTCATTCAGCATTAATTTTTTGTTTTTGTCAAAATACATTTGCTTATCTTTCAGCTTTTTCATTCCATGCCTGAAGATTTTTTGTATTAATGTTGAAGATGCAAGATCCATGTATCTCCAAATTGATAGATTTTGAGATTCCTGTATCATTAAAATGTACCATGGTGGCAGGATCTTCTGCTAAAACCTTATAATCCTTGTACCTTGTTATTTAATTACCTTTTCTTTTGATACCTACTGAGTTCTGAAAATATAATCAAAACTTTCACATTTGGTGATGCTTTTCCCTCCTCTATAATCATGCTTTTGGAAATAAATGTATTAGAATCTTCACCATTGAGATATGATTCCATAGTCTAACATGGATGCCAATTAATTTGATCTGAAATCTTGATCTGAAATTGTCTCTCTGGCTCACAGAGCATAGATTTTACTTGTTAAACTTGAGGGCGATGCTCATCATGATGTCATTGTGAGAGCTACAAAGCAGAAAAAAAAGGGGGTGAAGACTCCTTGTGCTCCCAATTGGTTGCCAGCATTTAATTGACCTTGTCCCTGGAGTCCCCATTCTCCTCCCCTGTATCACTATGGCTGGTGAGTTCCGTTTCAGAATAGGGTGTAATTTAGGATCATTACCTCCCAAAATGCTATATGTTACATTGGGCCATAATATATCCCTCATCTTTCAGGGAAGGTGAAAAAGCGACCTGCTGGAGGTTTGAAGGTCAACATTTCTCAGTCACCTCCTCCAGCCATGTGAGGACCACATCTCTTTTCTGTGATCTATATGAAATTTTGGACTCAAGCATCTGCACAATAATTCTGATGTATACTTATGTAGTTTCAGTAATTTGAGCGTTGTTTGAGGAGGGAACATGATCTTCCAAGACCCTCTCGTTTTGCTGATTTGAGAGCCTAGAATGATGGTAATCATAGGTGCAACAATGTTATTGTCTATATCAAATATCAGCTACTCTTCTTGATTTGGTGGGATGTTGGTATCGGCTGTTCAATTTTTGGAATGCTAATTTGTAGATAAATATTAACTTAGAGTCTTGCCTGAAATGTGATTGGTTTCTTCATTTAATAGAAAATTCTGAGAAATAGAACTTCTGTTTGATTGGAAGTGATTCGCTTTTTACTCTTCTAGCATTTCTGTTGGACAGAAGAATCCTTTGACAGAAGCATTAGTATGAGAAGCATAATAAATCATCAGTATTAGACAATTTTGGATCTTGATATCTGCATTGGGCAATCATATATCAAAGGGGGTAATTTCTAGGAAGTTTTCTCTGTAATGGCCTTCATTTACAACCATAAAATCTTTTTATATTGGTTGTTGATCAATGTTTTTGTCATCTCAATTATTTACAGGGACTTGGACCCATTTATCAGCTGTCAATTTTCATATCTCTCCATCATAAATTACACAATAGTGGGAACCCTGTACATTCCCCATATCTTGCGATAATCTTACCTGCTGGGGAGTCATAATAATAGCCAATTAGGCATTTGGGTTATGTGCAGTTTTTGGAACTAAACAAACTCTTCCATGATTAATTTATACATATAGTAATATTATATAAAATGTTATTAATATGAATTATAATGTAATGATGCATAGTGGGTACATGGCTGAGTTTCAGAATGCAGCAATTGTTCAACTTTTTTCAAGTGTCACTGCCACAACAGCTTATACAAATGTGATTGAAAACTTAAGAATAAGAAGGAAGGGTCATCATTATTCTCATACCATTGCAGTCGGGCTCCACGAGACCTGGATAGAAGGACAACCATTACCCTCGGTGACACTACGTTTGACTGTGATTGTGATGATCTTGTACCCCTGGAGACCTTGGGGCGGGGTGCATATGGTATTGTGGAGAAAATGCGCCACATCCCAACAAATACCATCATGGCTGTCAAAGTAAGCTATGCAGGAACTGAGACTTACATCAGAGATCATGCTGCTAGTTGGGATTGAGTTCCATCTGGGTTCTCATTTTTGTGATCCCCTTTGCATTAGTCTGCAATGCTTTTTCTGGTGAAAGCTATGAAATATTGATGAGCAACAGGATTTTATTGTCTACCATTCCAGCATGTATAAAGGTTATCGACAGTCAGAATTACCAGATTTGAAAGAGACTTTGCAGATAACTAGTTTTTTTAGGGGTATGTTTCCTTTAATAAAAAGTAGCTATTGCTGAAAATCTTTCATAATTATGGCTGAGTTTTCTCTATGTTTTTGTTGAAGGAAAGCTCAGTTTTTTCCAATCACAGCTGCTTGATTTGCAAGTGCTTTTTCTTTGGTGGACAAAAGTACCTGTTAAATGGCAACAGTGCAAAAAGTGACATGTTATCCGCTAGCAAATTTTCTGTACCGTCACATCTTTCCTGTGTAGTCTAGGATGGATGAGAATGAATTGGATGCATTATGTTTGACAGCGTATCACAGTGACGGTGAACAGTCAGGAGCAGAAACGGGTGCTGATGGATTTGGACGTCTCGATGCGTGCATCTGCCTGCCAGTATACAGTCCAATTTTTTGGGGCCCTCTTTCGTGAGGGAGATGTCTGGATCTGCATGGAAGTCCTGGATATCTCTCTGGACAAGTTCTATCACCGGGTCTATAAGCATGGCCGCGACATTCCTGAGCCCATATTGGGGAAGATTGCTCATGCTGTTAGTCAAGCTTATCTTCAGTCTGAATCAGAAGTCAATAACTAAATGGAAAAATGCAATTTTTCGTTTTCAGCTACTGGTGAGAAGAAAGTGAACATAATAGCTGAAAAGTAATCTTTTGAGCACTGCATTGAGTTGATGCTATTGAGAGAAAATCACTTCACCATTCCTAATTCCTAACACATTTTATATCCAAAAATTCTATGGATTGTTTTGATGCTTTCAAAACTACACATATAGTCTTTTCCTGTTCATTGCTTGGAATTTATTACAAAGTTGTTGTGAATCCTCTATGATTGGGAAGCTCTTTTCATCTCCTTAAATCCAGCATACAATACATTATGATTCTTGCAGGATTCTCGACAGGGCAATCAAAGGAGATGGAATGGTCTATCCTATCTGCTGCTCCTCCACTGCTAAGTTTTTTTAACCTTATTACAAAAATCGAACCCGATACTATCGAAGAACACAAACGTAAACACCCTAGGGAGAAAAACGTACGTCACACCGGAATAAGATGAGTCTCGAAGGAAACTAATATAGGGTCGGTAAAAATAAATCTGATTGGTAGCTTGCTGACTGCCTCCAAGGGTTTTTTTCTTTGGGATTTTAATAAACTTAATATATATTGTTTGGTGCCTCAGAGGGAGGGGGAGTTTGAAAAGGGTTCAGGATGCTGTTTTTGTGCAGGAATGTTGAAGAACCAACCAGAAGTGGGTACATTAATTGATTAATTAATTTTTTACTATGAGTATGGCACTTTATGTTAAAGTGCCAGATTGATTGAGGATTCAAGCAGTTTATTATCACATGGGACATCAAACAGATAATATAAACTGGCAAGTAATTATTTTTTTGTGTCTTAAAGTGGGAAGGAAAGTTGTGAGTGCTAATGGTAAAGGTATTCAAGATGATTCTGTGAGAATTTGTTGAGATTTGCATCACTAAGAAGTCTAAATGATTGCTTAGATAACTGTTCTGCAAGATAAAGCTGTTGATCTAATGTGAGAAGCAGAAATGGGATTTATATGGTACTGGTCAAATCATCAAGCAGTGTAGGAGGACTATTAAGCTACTAAGAGTTCTTTGAAGTTATAAATTAGGCTAGGGAAACTGGAGGCTAATAGCTTGCATTAATGCAGAGGGTAGTTACCAGGTTTCTTTTAACAGTATCCCAGTGGCAGGAGTCAATATTCAATCAGGTTCCCAAAGGTGACATGAGGGAGTTAGCTTTGATAAACAGTGACAAGGCTAAAAATATCAAATGATTTTTATCTGTTTTCTCAATCAAATCCAATTATGTACTGATAATTGCCAAGGTCACTGTTTTGTTTCATTAGTACATTTGGAATAATGTTTTTAGCTTGGGCTATGATAGCTTCTTGTGTTTGCATTTGTGGGATCCCTCTTTTTGCATGCAGTGTGGCCTTATTCTACTCAGAGCTTCCTTTGATTATATCCCAGCCATTTTTAAAATATGATTGGTAGCTTGCTGACTGCCTCCAAGGGTTTTTTTCTTTGGGATTTTAATAAACTTAATATATATTGTTTGGTGCCTCAGAGGGAGGGGGAGTTTGAAAAGGGTCCAGGATGCTGTTTTTGTGCAGGAATGTTGAAGAACCAACCAGAAGTGGGTACATTAAGTGATTAATTAATTTTTTACTATGAGTATGGCACTTTATGTTAAAGTGCAAGATTGATTGAGGATTCAAGCAGTTTATAATCACATGGGACATCAAACAGATAATATAAACTGGCAAGTAATTATTTTTTTGTATCTTAAAGTGGGAAGGAAAGTTGTGAGTGCTAATGGTAAAGGTATTCAAGGTGATTCTGTGAGAATTTGTTGAGATTTGCATCACTAAGAAGTCTAAATGATTGCTTAGATAACTGTTCTGCAATATAAAACTGTTGATCTAATGTGAGAAGCAGAAATGGGATTTATATGGTACTGGTCAAATCATCAAGCAGTGTAGGAGGACTATTAAGCTACTAAGAGTTCTTTGAAGTTATAAATTAGGTTAGGGAAACTGGAGGCTAAGAGGGTAGTTACCAGGTTTCTTTTAACAGTATCCCAGTGGCAGGAGTCAATATCCAGTCAGGTTCCCAAAGGTGATATGAGGGAGTTAGCTTTGATAAACAGTGACAAGGCTAAAAATATCAAATGATTTTTATCTGTTTTCTCAATCAAATCCAATTATGTACTGACAATTGCCAAGGTCACTGTTTTGTTTCATTAGTACATTGTCATAGTTGAAGAAATCACAACACAATAGGGAACAAATGCAGGAAAGGGCACTCAGAGCAAATTCCTGCTCATGTTATTGAGGAACTCAGTCTGTAGTGTTAGTACTATTAAGAATGATATATCCATGACAGGGTAGTGAATGTGTGAAACTGTGAAGGTTTCACAGCAGCCCCTTTTATAACTAGCTTCAAGAAGAGGTCAGATGCCTTCATGAAGAAAGTAAAAAAGAGAACTATATATCATGAGGTAACTTGGCTATTGATAGATATCTTCCCATAAAAATATAGGGTGTTCATAAATTATTGAAGGGTTTCAAAAATGTATATAAGGAAAACGACTCAAGTGAAATTGATTGGATTTGCAGTAGAGATAGTTGAACACTATATGTTCTTATATGTACATTTGGCACGAAGCAGGGGAAGAGAGAAAGAGGGATCAAGAGAAGGCTTACATTACATTGTATATTAGGGGCTTCTCATTCAATGCAAATTTAAACATTTTTCAAACATAGCAGTTTCAAAGTGTTTAGCCACTGTTTCAAGATGTACATCTTGCAACTCCTTTAATAATTCATTAACACCCTGTACTGTCTTTCAAGGGCTAAGCCTACTTTATTTGAATGCTCAGCCATGACACAAGATGTCAGTATGGGTAGAAATGGTTCTTGATGTCTCTTCCCAAACCTTGAACCATGTGAGCTTCCACTTTATTTGATCCACAAGCATAAAAAATTCTGGATTTGCTTAAATGTATAGGCAGTATGCTCATATAACATCAATGCTCAACATTCTAGTTGGTTTCTGTCGTTTCAAGAAGAGGTCAGATGCCTTCATGAAGAAAGTAAAAAAGAGAACTATATATCATGAGGTAACTTGGCTATTGATAGATATCTTCCCATAAAAATATAGGGTGTTCATAAATTATTGAAGGGTTTTAAAAATGTATATAAGGAAAACAACTCAAGTGAAATTGATTGGATTTGCAGTAGAGATAGTTGAACACTATATGTACATTTGGCACATGAAGCAGGGGAAGAGAGAAAGAGGGATCAAGAGAAGGCTTACATTACATTTTATTTTAGGGGCTTCTCATTCAATGCAAATTTAGACATTTTTCAAACATAGCAGTTTCAAAGTGTTTAGCCACTGTTTCAAGATATACATCTTGCAACTCCTTTAATAATTCATAACACCCTGTACTGTCTTTCAAGGGCTATGCCTACTTTATTTGAACGCTCAGCCGTGACACAAGATGTCAGTATGGGTAGAAATGGTTCTTGATGTCTCTTCCAAAACCTTGAACCATGTGAGCTTCCACTTTATTTGATCCACAAGCATAAAAAATTCTGGATTTGCTTAAATGTATAGGCAGTATGCTCATATAACATCAATGCTCAACATTCTAGTTGGTTTCTGTCGAGAACAGATACCCACACATTTTTGAAGAGATTTGCTGAAAAAAAAAAGTCATTAGTAGAAGTGTTGAAAAACTTTGGGAGCCATGAAGGCTTTTGCATGCCAACTGAGATGCAGAAATGGATTGAGCACTGTTTCATCATTTTACTAAACAGGTGGTGTCAGCACTTCACTACCTTCACACGGAATTGAAGGTGATACACAGGGATGTGAAGCCATCTAACATTCTCATCAATCGGAAAGGACAGGTGAAGATATGCGACTTCGGAATCTCAGGCTACCTGGTAGACTCTGTTGCCAAAACCATAGATGCCGGCTGCAAGCCATACATGGCGGTTTGTTGTGTTTTGTTTTCTTCTCCTTTTGCCACTGTGCTTATATACTCAATTAAAAGGAAATGATTTGTTTGAGTGCAGCCAGAGAGGATAGATCCCAAGGGAAATCCCTCGTGCTATGATATTCGCTCTGACATCTGGAGCCTTGGGATTTCGATGATCGAGCTAGCAACGGGATGCTTCCCGTATCGAACATGGGGTACACCCTTTGATCAACTGAAGCAGGTCGTTGAGGATGACCCCCCAAGACTCCCTCCAAACAAATTCTCCCCAGAGTTTGAAGCCTTCATTTCTCAGTGGTGAGCTGCTTCATTTCCCTGTCTTGCAATAAGAATCCACTATTTCAGGTCTGACTCATCATATCATTCATGTTGTCAAATGTCAACTTATGGAAATCCCTACATTTTTTATTTTTAATCTTTTCAGGACATGAAGTTTACTCTAAGACAGGAATAAGTGAAGGTATCAATAGAGTGTGAATTCTTAAAAACAATGATATTATTAAATTGTTTGTCAAGAATTATCTGGGTGCATTCCTATGAGGGAAGTAGAGCCATACCAGTTGTCATGGATTCTTCTGGTACTAGTCTATACCTAAATTAGCATCAATGTTGGTACACCACCTCATGGTGCTTCAGAGAAAGTATCAGGATGGTGATGCTTATGATTTTCCTATGTAGCCTCCTGAAGGATGTCCACAAGAGGCCAAACTACACCCAATTACTGGAGCACCCTTTCATCGCAAGACACGGAACGGTGGACACGGACGTGGCTGGATTCGTTAGTGAGATCTTGGACCTCCCTCTCACGGATGAGGACAAGGCCAAGAATTGAGGCCATCCCATTTCACAGTAGTCCCGGGCTGGAGCCCTAGAGTATTTCAACACCGTCTCTCCAGTACAACGACCTACGAACCTACGGCAAAAAAAATTCACACACACGCAGAAGCCATTTGTGATATGGAAGTGAAGGAGACCCTGCCACTCTTGTGCATTTCTTTGCTACCCACACACATTTACAAAAGAAACCACTAATGACTTTCATATTGTACAGCAGTGAGTCGGTTGAGTGCTGATTTCACTATCACTCATGATCATGAAACCTGTCTTGAAGTATGAAGGTAGAATGACAACTGAAATTTATTAGCATTAGGCTTACAGAGAAGAGAGTGAGAGAGCAAATGAAAGATTGATATTCTGGAAATTAATTTCTTGTTGTCCCTTTCATTTTCAAAGCCCCTTCTTGGCCGTTTGAAGCATAGCTGAGGAAGACTGTTTGCCAGCGGAAGGGTGATGGTTTTAGACCGTTTTTAAACATGGTCTCTCTGGTTTTTCTTACCTCATCAATTCAGGGATGGTAGAAGATAAGGAAATGAAGAGGGCCGATAGTTGTCTGATTCCGTTCTAAGTGCTGATAATACATAATAAACCTCTCGAGGGTAAAACAGCATTCCTCCCATTTTTCTGACCAGGCTTAGCCTCTTTTCCCCTTCAGTGTTAGAAATTCAGTGCTGATTCATTGGAGATTTATACGACCTGGAACTTGTATCCTGAAAATTGTTTACCCCTTTCTTAAGATTTATTTCAAGTACAGGAGGATGAATATAGCAAAAAAATGTCTACATGAGAGCGCTACAGCGTCCAAACTACAAAGCATAGGATGGTGCCATGGCACACGTATGACAAGTGACACTCGGGGAATCGATTCCACTGCTTACCGAATCCTTCCCAGTTGCATGATTTGCATCGAGTTCGTTCTACGAGTTCCACGCGCTTACCCGCGACGCACGCGTATTGCGTACGACTACAAGAAGTCGCGAGACTCAGTCGTCCGATATGCAAGGAACCTCGTGATGCCCAGGTGCATGGGCGCGTGGGTCACCCACGTTGACGCCTCGCTTTTGGTCGTTCGATGACTGGAATTCCGTCGGTGTGAAGTCTGAAGAACGCAGTGACAATGCAAAGCAGTGCGAGTCGCTCCCTTCACCGGAGTGCCTCCAAAACCGTCCCGCGACGACGCACTCGACGATCTGCCTCCCGAATTCCTGGATTCATCGTGCTATATTGGTCTAATTTCGCGGTATCGTCGTTTGGCACGTCGTTTTGGGGGCCCAATCCCTCGCTTCTTGTTTCGATGGCTTCATTCCTCGTCTTTCCTTGTGAGTTAACACGTGAACGTGGAGGAAAACGAGTACTAGGGAGTGGCTAAGCTGACCAACGTAAATAAGCGTCAGCCCCCCCCCCCCCCCCCTTCTCTCTTAATGCAGCGCACCATATCATAATGGGGGGAGAGGCGCCTCGTGGAATCCGACCCTAGTTTTCTCATACGACGTTCCTTCCTATCGTGAAAGTATGTATGCAGTTTTTCTCCATATTTGCTCGTACGATGGCCCCATCCTACGCCTTGCTGTCAGACGCCGTAGCGCTCTCGAGTGGGATCGCGTGCGCCCGTGCCACTATCGAGACGCGTACTCGAGGCAGCCGGGGACCGATCGCGAAGGAAAGCTCGGAAGCCGAGCAAATGGGTGGCAGTGACGACGATCGGACGACCGAGTCCCTCCAATAAAAAATATGGACGTTCTCTTTCGTTTTTCCAACGTTCGCTTAAGGCGCCTATTTAAAAACTCGCATTGCACCCTTCCAAACCCGACTCACCGAATTCCCCCTCGGCGTGCGCAATATTCACGCTCCCACGCGTCACGCACGACTCTCCACCCCCGAGGAACGACGCTCGCCGTCGGACACGGTGGGAAAAACTGGGGAAACGCACCACGCAGACGTCATGCCACGGTGACGTCACCGGCAATCGCGCTCGGCTCGTATCTACTTCGTGGACCCGAAGGGAAAAGGCGGATCGTGGCGACGAGTTGCAAGAATCGGTCATCAGTCGCAGAGAGATTCATCAGTCGGAACATCAGTCGCAGTCCGTTTGGAGGACGAAATCCCTCCCGTCGGATTCTTCAATCCTTTTTCCTTCCTCATATCGATTTAATTCAGAACGCTGCGAGAAAATTTCGCCCGGGTGGGGGACATGGCATTAAGCACCAAGCAAGTACTTATGCAGCTTAATAGCTTAATTAGGAAGGGCATGCCTCGGGCCCCTCGCGTACGCCGCTGCTCTGACGCATCGTACCAAAGTTTACACACCGAAGTGTGATAAATTCTGACGCAATGATCGAATCGCGTCGTTGTTTTCCCAAGATTCCACTGCGATATCCGCAGACCGGCGGAGAAATGCTGCGAGCGTATCACATTCGCCGACGATCGGGTCGATTCGGTGAGTTAGGATGAGATCACGTGGAATAGCAAAGGCCGTCGGGTGGAAGGTCGACGCACGGAGGGCGTTCGAGTCGAGTTCCGTCTGCTGCGAGTTACGGGAGGTTCACGATGGGGCTCTTATGGGGAATATGAGCTCGTTCGTGGCCTGGAATCCGCGAATCTGTCTCGAATATGTGGACGATAAACGACTAGTATCCGCCTTCCTAGCTCTCTATAATGAGATCAGGCGAGACATACGGCGAGGTACTAAACACTCCCGTGCGGGACGACTCCAGGGAAAGAGGGAAGGGTACTTTCGTGTACCGTGCGAAAAGCGAGACCAACTCCATCTAGTGGCCTGGCAGAGAACTTCTCCATCGGGAGTTCTGCTCGGCGTGGGGATGTGCCCGCGTTGGGCTCACGTTTGGCCAGGGTCGGATTTAGAAGTTGCGAGGCGAGGGGCAAACGAAGTCACCCCCCTCCCCGCTACTTTACGCAAATAGAATACTTTTTTGTACTTAACGGTTTAAATTTCCTTTGGGGGTGGGAGGGCAACTGCCCCCATTCATCCGGCCCTGCGTTCGGACGACCTTTCCCTCATTTACTCCACGTTGGGCCAACGTTGCGTGTCATCTGGGTTCTTTCTTCTCTCCTCGAGGAAGGGAAGAGAGCGAGTGAGGAGTCCTCATTCCCGTACATTCTGTGAATGTGAACGTGAAACATCCTCTCAATGATGAAAATGGAGAAGCAATATCTCTTGCACGGACGAGCAAGGTGGCCGTAAGGTGGCTGCAAGGTGGTTGCAAGGTGGGCCGATGAAGGCTAATAGTAATGCAGGTGTTAACGCGTGCTTCCACTCTTGCCAGGCCATGACGCTTGGGAAGACAGGCCGAGAGAGCCATCAGTTTGCTCGCCCTCGTAAGAGTGGCCTCTACGATCATGCTTCTCCCTACATAAATATTTGGAAAGCGCTTATCCCGCCTTAATGGATTTCTGACTAGAGCAAGGCGGAGGAACATCTACCAGTGTTCGCGATCCCGGACAGCGGATTCGAGCTCAGCGGATCAGCGGCCATCCCGAGCGAAGACTCGCGACGTCCGAAGTTCGCCTCATTTAAAAATTCGGATTCGGCAAGCACGGTTCTCACGAGTTCCCGCAAACCGGCGGAAGCCCTGGAGATGCGGCTGTCGATCTCGTCGTAACATGACTTCTCGAGAGGATCGTAACCTGCCATTTGGGACAGCTTAATTTCATTCCGATTCTTGTACATTCCGAGTCGAACCTGTCGAGCACGGTCTGAAACTCCAATCGAAAACGGGCCAAAATGCTTTGCCCTTCATTCCTCAAATTCAGAGCTTCCACCACGAATGCTGCTTTGTCTCTCTCCTCTCCCATTTTATCAACGAGGCTCATTGGACTGCTGATAGCACAGGGTACTAGGGTAAGCGAGATAACATGACCCTAATAACACCATAATTCAAACTTGGATTTGAAACTCCAAATAAATGCACACATCTTGGAAACACACAGTGGCATAGGGAAGGTGAGGGTTTAGGGGGTCAGAACCCCCCCCCCCCCTTGGGCTTCCCGGTCAGTGACAGTCAGGCATATTTCAGCCTTCCTTGGGAATTCCAGTTTTAGCTATCTCCCTTCGAGGAAAGTCCAATGTCCATCCACAGACCCAAGATGCCAGACCACTATTTCTTCAAAAAGGTAAATTCCGGGTGGTGGAGCGAAGCATAGGGTTGGGGTGTCTACCTGGCCTCAACCCCCCCCTTGCCGATTTTCTGCCTACACCACTGGAAACACACATGTAAGAACAGATCTCTATGAGGATGAAACTATGAATGTTTATTCCAAACTAATAGAAAAGAAAAGGTCCTATTTATAAGAATTAGCCACTGGAGATCATATGCATAAAACTTTTTTTTTTCTGCAAAACAATCCTTGTCTGAGAATTGTAGGACAGGTTCTTCTTTGGAGAGTAGCTGCTCTACTCAGGAACATGTATTGTCGACCAAACTGCAACATAATTCATAACGAAAGAAATTAATTTTAAGCATTAAATCTGATCACAGATCCCTTTGAACAAGTTTGGAATCTTCATCCATACTAAGGGATCGTTCATTGAGGGCTTGCTGTCGTGAGCGAATGGACCACACGCTTCCCCCACCAAGCCTCCAGGTCAAATGGTTTGAAATCTGCAAAGTGAATCCCATGCATCAAGCTATGTATGGCAGTCGCAAAATTAAATCACCATGACTAATGCAAGATGACAACACAAAATTTGAGATTATTTACGGCTAATTCTATTAAAAGTTTGGATTCATACCAATCAGACATGGACTGGGATTCTTCTCTTGGAAGTATACAACAGAAGGTACACCTGCAAAGACCAACAAAAAACTCTTGCTCAAAAAACCCTTTCAAGGCCAGAAGAAATCAAGAAAGAAATCAGAAGTGTTGATTAGACACTTCAAATGGTATAGACGAACTTGATGGATAGACTTAGATCAAGTGATTGGCAGGCTTTTTCACTCGCTCAATAAGCCATAAGTAAAGCTCAAACAGCAGGACTATATTTTAATATTTTGGATCATGAATGAGTACAAAGTATTAAGTGATGATGTAGAAGCTTCGTTCATAATTCTAACTGAGGTTTGATAATGGTTCCAGAAGAAAATTTTCCAAGAGATTCTAGCTGGAAATTTCTAATGCAACTAAGTGAAACATAGCATAATATTCTAATTTTCAACAGTAAAAACCGAAAAAAATAGCTAGAAATAGCAGGCAACTATCACCTCACTCACACCAGAAATGCTATCTCCAGAGGAGTTAGGATGAGCATTACATCCCTCATTCACAAGGGCAGAAATGTTTAAGGACATCCTAATGAAAACATTGAGCCTTAATCCTGAAAAAACACTTTCTCAGTAGGCACAACTCTCGTTGATAGGCAATTGATAAGATGATAGCTTAGGACCAAGTCTTACGTGAAAATATAAGCACTTATACATCAGTGTGAAAATCTCAGCCTCCTTGTACAATGAAAGAAAATCATCAATACGAAAGAAATCACTGAGGAAAGGAACAAGTTTGGAATCTTTTCCCACCAACAGATTTTTGCAAAACCACCAGAAATACATTCCCATGGTTCCTCTGAGGCAAATGGTGCTTGGGCTGGGAAGTGCTTTACCTGATTGGTGCAGTTTAGTGCCTCCCATGGCTTTAAATTATTCTCAATGGGGAATATGGGAGACAGGGGCAGCCATGCTCAACAGAGAATAAGAATGCCCATTCTTCTTAGAATAGAAGGAGCCATTGTTGTCCCAGTATTCACCCACAGAATAATTAATCACTTTGGGGCCTGAGACTCAGACTAATGTTACATCATAATTGCAGCTGAAGGCTGTAACCTTTTTTCCAACTTGAACTGATCCACCATTACAAAAACCAGGTTGACTTTCTCACTCTTTGGCCTTTGATACCTATGAAATTGGAAAATCAATAGACTCCACTGTGCCAGTACAAAAAGAGAGTCTCACCAAAGTGAGGAAGACAGACTGGCCAGAAAGGTGTAAGAAAACTGCACTCATACTATGTGACCAGAAGGTTCCCCATATAGTAAGACTGACCTGAGTACAGTGCACATGCCTGTTCCAGGTTGCCAAGGCTTGAGACACGACCAAATTGCAATGCTTAGCATGTAAAGCAGTGTCCACTATCACTGATTCCACAAACAGTGAAACAATTTGAATCTGCTGGCTTTGTAGTGAAATAGCCTCTAACAAATAAAGATAAGTTAAACACTTTCAAGGACTTTATCATTGATGTCACCACATGCAAATCATACACCTTTTCATGGGCCTAGTAAATTGACCACAAATGAAATGCTCACATAGGTCTATGTAGTCTTCATTCTCAATTTTGTGAGTTCTGGTCGAAAACTAGCTGGGAACTAAATTTTTTGGAAGTATTGACTGATTATAAGACCTACTATGATGCCATGTATTTGGAACATTTAAGTTCCTCAGGACAAATAACTTAAACAGTTATTTTTTTAAAAGCATATATAAACCTAGGGTTAAATGAGGAATTAAGAGCATGGTTCAAGGTTTACACTTTGAGTGGAAACATCAGGAAGCAATCCCACACATATTGATAAACCAAGTTTAGGATGAATGCTAAATTTGGGATGCATACAAGTTCTATGCAGGGGCAGCGTCCAACATTGGACCTTTGCTTACTTTCTAGGTTAGTGAGTTCAAGTTGGTGATCAAGCCTGCTCTGGTACATATCACAATGAGAATGGGGCTTTTCAGAAACAGCGAAGAAAGTCCCAAGAAGTCATTAAGCTCAACTAGATTCACAAGAATTATGAATAAATGTTGGACAGCTACAAGTTGAATCTACACATGGAGGAATCAGTCACTACATCTTTGCATAGTGCATTCAGTGCTACAAAGTATAGAATGGACTTCCTAGCTAGTGAAATAGTCACTCTGCCACTTGAGCATTACACAACTAGAGCTGGATCCTCCAAGTTCTGCTGCTACCATCAAGCTGGAAAAACCCACAACATTCCATTCATAACACCCTTCAAGACATTAAATGCTTGCCTTGCGGACCTGCCATCCAACAAATTCGCTCAGAATCCCACACAAGCTAAAATGCATCCTCAAAAACTGTTCCATCGATCGGTAATTTGCCTGCGCTGTGTTAAGGTTTATGAGTGAGTCTGGTAAAGGTCAAGGTAAGGAGTTATGCAGAGCTTAACAATCTGAAGGGCATAGTGGAAGCCAATGATGATGCATGGCCGAGGCATACTTACGATTTCCTTCTCTGGCATCCTGTCTGCTCTTGTCGTATTCTCTGGAAACATTCTTCCAAACTGAAAAGCAAGCAAAGACTTATAGCAGTCTCGGTCGATGCAAGCCCAGGTCGAAGCCTCGCAGTCGGACCTACCATCGGTCACATATCGGACGATCTCCTCGTGGAGAGGTGACATCTCCGGAGTCTTCCCAGCTGCCTTCTTCCCGTTCACTTGCTGATACATCCTCAGCGCAGCCGATTACAACGTTAGGCCTACGCCTTCGTTTAACGTTGACGTTGTCTGACTTATGATGCAAGAATTTCGACTGGGCCGACCTGATGATAATCGCCTAGGCCAGTGAGTAACACCGAGCCTGAACGAGGTCAAAATTCGGGTGGAGAGCAAATGGAGATTGGCAGAGCCCGAGAACACGTGCGTTGATTCCACAGCGCATCCACAATAGAGGTGTCTCGTTGCCTGGAATCCCAATTGGAGAGCCGCCCGAGATTTTCATGCCGGCAACTGGTTTCTAGATGGAACGTGATGCTGTCATTTATGTTCCCTCGTGGATGCTGGTTTCGTTTACTTCATATGGAATCGGTCAGACTCCAGCTCATACGAAAACGATCGGATGCGGGTTGATGCCTTATGATTCGTTCCCGGTCGGACAAGGAAATGCCATACCGATGAGGTCTTCACGTTGGAGGAGAATAGACCTACGCATGCGATTCACTCCAGGGTGAATGGAGTGTGGAGTTCATATGTTCTCCGTTTTCCCCCTTAGGAGGCGAAGCGCCGCTGGTGTAGTGGTATCATGCAAGATTCCCATTCTTGCGACCCGGGTTCGATTCCCGGGCGGCGCACGTTTTGCTTTTTTTTTCCGTTCGTATTCTTTTCGCTCCTTAATTTAATGCGCATCCATCTTTTATGTGTATCCACGCCAAAAATAATTGGAGTACTATGACAGGCCCAAAGGAAATTTTACGTTGACATGTTTTTAAAATCGCTTATCGCAACTCATTAGTTTCGCGGCTCGGGCAGGGGCAGGGGAGAAACTTCCAGTGTTCGCGATCCTGGGCAAGGGACTCGAACTCGGCAGGTATACCGAACCTCTCGTGGCCGAGGTTCGCCATGTAGTCCGACCGATTTTGCACAAGGCACCAAACGGGCTTGAGATCTCTCGATTCGAAGGCGTGGCTCCGAAACCTGGAGGTTCTCGTTGGATGAAAGCGCTCGGTCTCCGGTCACTCGGCGTTGCACCGGACACCCGCTGTAAGAACCTCATCGAAGCAGCTCGTATCGAAGACCTGATTATTTCGGTTCTTTGTCCACAGTTCATGACTGAAGGTGAGAGTGGGGAGGTAAACGCTCTTGAAACCGAGGTTTTCGCTTCCTTACAAACGTGAGAATTCCAGCCAAAATCCTCCAGAGTTACCGCAAAACGGCAGAAGCCCTGGAGATGCTGCCGTCGATCTCGTTTTCGTACCGCCCGTCACTCGAGAGTCAGACCCCGAGGTACTTAAACTTCTCCATCCGCTCCAATGGGGCGCCCCCAATCACATAAGGTGCACCGTGCAGGAATCGATAAGATCTCCCCAAGTCCAGGTCCCCGCATGTTCCGAGTCGAATACGCTCGAGGACACCCTGAAGCTCCTGCCGAGACCGGGCGGAAAAGACGGCAAAGAGAAGTACAGGGTGCCCAAAAGGTAACGTATGGATTTGTCTGTCGAATAACTTCTGACGTATTGGCGATATTATTTTCCTATTTTTTCCTGGTTGTAGAGTGGACCTTGAAGTTTTATTAATTGTTGGACAGTCAAACAACAGGCAATTGTGAAGCTTTACTTTTCTAACATATACTCCATTTTTGAAGCTTCGTGCGTCTTCCATCGACGGTTTCGTGTTCGTGAAGCAACTTCTGTGTTATTCGTTGGTGTTGCACATTTGGGTGCCAATGGTGATGTTGCCGGTGAATCGTGATCAGGAAGACGTCGAAGCTTGGAAAACGGTGAGTGATTATATGCGAGAGCTATTATAATCTATAAGTGTTTGGTCATCTTCACCAGCAATGTGTCCTCCATCTCTATTTGAATTTCGGTACGGTACCTCAGATGTCTGCAATGAACAGTGGCAGCCCCCTACATTTCTCCCTCGCTTTCCTCTTTTCTTCTTTCATTTACATAAGCACTGAAATCCATTAAAGTGAAACCCACCTTCGCTCCCTTGCCACAAACCCTACCAAAAGAAAGCCCCCAACAAACTCTCTAAACTCCTCGCAATTCAAAATCCCATTTAGTCAAGCAATATTCCCAACTGCATTTCTTAGGCCTAGTTTCCTTAATTGCTATTCCTTGTCCGAATCACATTCAGGTGTCCCCGTGGTGATACCCTCGTTTTGATCTGCTCCCTCCGCATCTTCTGTTTCTTGAGATTGCTCTGTTGGATATCTGGTTCCCTTAGTGCTTAGAGTTGTTTGTCTGAGAATATTCCTCTTCCTCCAGCTGAGCTCACTTTCTGCTTTCTCTTCCGTCTTATTGTTAGGATTCCTCTTCCCTGTCCCAGGGTCGTGGTTGACTTTTTCCAACTGTCCATCCTCATTCATATTGTAGTCTATTCCATCGATCCTCTATTTGTCCTGTATCAGATATGCAACTTTCCCATCCCTCCTGGCCTTAACCATGGCTGGGATCAGCTTTTTCTTCCTTTCCCTGACTGACTTGGGGAAATCCTCAAAGATGCCCTAATCCTTCTTATATTCGTGTGGTAGCTCTCTCCTTGCTAGCATAATTTTGGTCGTATCTTTGAGGCTTCCCAGTTTAAGGATCATTAGTCTTGTTGCTCCACCGCTCTTTTTCCCAATCCGATATGCCCATTCAATACCTGGTCTCACCTGTAGATCCAGCTTCGCTTGTTTCGCATACACTCGGTTCAACTTCTTTTCCACAACTGTTATCTTATCTACTACCCCGAATACCTCCTTTTGAACTGCCTTCACCTCTTGTAAAACTTGCATCCAGCTGATTTCCTCTTTGGGAAGTCCTGGGTGTCAAAAGTTATTCGATGGACAAACCCATACGCTACTTTTTGGACGCCCTGTATTTGCACTCGATGCCAAGGACGCCGACACCCTCGAGGCCCAGGCGACACATGCAGATACTTTCAAAGTACACGAAAAAAAAAAGAACAGGATAGGAGATAGAAGGCAACCCCGACTGAGTCCAAGACGTATCAGGAATGAGTCAGTAGCTCGTTCCGTTCGCTTCAGCTCCTGTTATAAATGTATTGCACGAGGAAAGTATGACTGCAGTGTCCGACCGTTAATCCCTTGCAATCCTACAGCACTTTCAACTCTTTCCCTCGAAGTACATGGTCGTATGCCTTTCCGAGAACCACAAATCACGTGTAAATCTCTTTTCCATATTCCGTTTGTCTCTGTCTCTTGTCGAATCTGATGAAGTGCGAAGAGCTTTTGGGTGGTGCTACGCCACGAGCGAAATCCACACTGCTCCTCCTGGCAAATCCGGCTCCACGCACTCTCTTTTCTTGCATCTCCGCTCGACTTTATCAGGTATGCCGAGGAGAGCGATTCCATGGTAATTGTTTCACTCCCTCGTGTCCCCCTTCTTAAGAAGAGGAATCACGTCGCTGATCTGCCGATCCATGGGTCCCTTTCCCGAATCCCAAGCGGTTCGACGCGTTCTAGTCAGGGACGGAGCAGCCGACGATGCCCGACGGTTTCAGGGTCTCTTCCCGAATTTCGTACGAGCCAGGAGACTTTCTCAAACTAGCCATTGCTTCTTGAATTTCCTTCATCTTGAGACTATTCTTCGCAGTTGGATTCCGAGTGGGCCGCAGCAGAATGCGATTCGAGAGTGATTCAAAATGTTCCGAGTATTCCCGCTTCGGCAGCCAGGAACTTCCCGTTTCGAAGTTTCACTTCCCAGTTTATTGCCTGCCCTATCGGAGCCTTCGAACGGTTTGCCAGAACTCCTTAGCAGTGCAGTAGTCGTGTTCCATTTCTTCATCGAATTTCTTCCATGCCCTCTCGTTTCGCTTCGGCTACGACTCGAGCAGCAATTTTTCGCGCCTCTCTGTAACACCCACGAAGAGTCCGATCCACAAAAAAGAAATGACCAATTCGTAGCTCTTTCGGCAGCGACAGCAGGCCTCACCTCCGGTTTCCGCTCCGTATTATCGCGTGCCATTTCGCTTTTTTTTTCACCGCTTTATTTCACTGCTGCGGAGGAAACCCCTCATCAAAATAGATCCCATTCGGTCTCTATATCAGAAATTTGGTGAGATCGTTGAGAATAATTTTCGCCGATGGTCGTTGCCGACTCGTCGCTTTCCCTCCTCGCCCGATTTGCTAGACGTGTGGCTTTCTGCCCCGCTCTGCGGTTCGCCAGTACCTAGAGTTTGCTAAATTTAGATTTTGTTGCTTCTCAGTTCGGCCCCCCCCCCCCCTTCTCTTTACCCTTGTTTAATATCCGATAATTCCCGATCTTGCACAGAAAAAATGGAAACATACAAGGAGAGATACAAATGTGAGACGTACTTATTGGGTTCTTATCTATACCAAGATACATTTATACGTATGTTCCTTTGTTTGCATGTGGTCCAGAGCGTCACATTGGTACGTTCCCAACACGTGACTCGAGAGTGCTGCCTCCCCAGCCACGAGTTGATAATATTCCCTTCCCTCGTGCAAGTTGAGTTCCTTATCCAGGCCCGGAACTACCGATTTCTAGATGGAATCCTTTCTGTTCGGGAGGCATGTCGAAACAGTGACAGGATGTGAAGATTCCCGTCACTTCCAGAACAGAAATAACATAAACGGAACCAACATCTTCCTCGAGAATGATGACGAGCCTAAACGTCCACTCGATCGACTAAGCTGTTCGATCTCCAGTACAGGTTGAAAATTGAACCATCCTCACTCCATCCTCCGAGCCAGAGTTTTCAGGAAACTCCTTGGACTGGGTTGCCTCTTTAGACAGATTTGCTGAAGAATTCAAATTTCTTTTTCTGTGGTTTCTATGGGAAACGATCATGCACCGTGTGAAAAGTATCGGGGACCGATTCCAGCCGTATCAGGTATAGACTCGCTCCAGCAGCTACTTTGGTGCCATCTTGCGTCGGTCCTGCGAACCTTTGCTCAAGTCACTGTCGTGCTTAAAGGAAGCGTCTCTTTAACGTTCAACGATTGTCCTTCAAAAAGTCATGTCATCAAATGGCACCTTAACTGAGCGCTCGAAAGCTGCTCACCCGAGAACATTGGACGTCACAAAACTTCTTTGAACAGGGGTTGAACGTCCTGGAAAACGTTCTTGTGTTTCTTGTGTGAGAACCGCTGCTTCAGGGGAAATGGTGCCTGAGTTAACGACCACGCCTATAGTTGCGTTTCTTCATGCGGACCTTGCATTCAATATTGAATAAAACTGTTCTGAAAATGCCTCCACGTGACAGAAACAAATTACTAAAATTTTCTTTGCCCACAAAAAGGAATGATAGGTGTCTGATCGCGCCCTCAAAGCTTGGGGAGAGGGTAGTGTGTGTGCCCTGCAAATATAGAATCAAGACTGCCTCGCCGTTTTCACACTCAGACCTACCTTTTCGTGGGTACGATGCTAATTTGTGTTTGTTTAAGGTCGCAAATTCATGGCAACTCAGGACAGACGGGCATATGTCCATTTTTTATTTCCTTTCTTCTTGCTTTTCCAGGCTCCGGAGGATAAGGAAGCCGCTTCTTTTCAACGATTGGAAAGTAGAAGCAGTGATCCGAAGGGCCATTTTACAGTTTCTTCATTTGGATTTTTCGAATGTAAATGCAAGGAATATGCTGAGACAAATATAAATATTCCGAAGAAACGGAAATCCTACAGCGAAATAACGTCGTAATTTTCGAAATCGACTCATCGGGGGAAATGGTCCCGGGGGAACGAAGCGAATCCGAACACGTAACCAGTCCATCCGAATAATGGATGGAAGAATGAATGAACGCCCCCCCCCCCCCCCCCAGGTGGACACGCACATTCCAGTTGAATATTTTTTCGAGCATTCCGGATTCATTCGAGGTCTTTAGGGAGGCACGCAGTTCTTCTGGTCGTGTCAGTCCACGTGATTCCACTTTCGATCTCTCCTTCCTTCCCCGTCGTCAAAAATCTCTTCTAAGTCATTTCTTAGTACTTCGTCACTTTTGAAGCATTTTGTGCGGAAAAGTGCGTGTTTTCCAGAATGTTAGCTTCGGAAAGGGCGACTCACAAAGTAATAGTAGGCTGTTCCCACGCCGAAGCGGCCCTGCTGCTTCTGGGATTGTTTGCAGATGAACGCGGTCTTTCTTAGGTTCTTCAAAGGTGCTTTTTCGTCTCTTCCGGGTCGAAGAACATGTGTTCAACGTGTGTTCAACGTGCGTTCAACGTGTGTTCAACTTCGACGGATGCGAACGTCGCAATTAAGAGTTATGTGCGGCACCCGGAGATGATCGGCGAAATATGCTAAATGTGCAGCTTTGTGCATGCACGCAGAATCTTGCAAAAATGCATACCTGGGGGTTTCATTAATGCAGGGATTGCTCCCCATCCAAGTCATTCTTCTCATCTGGGTTGCACATCCATAAAGGCTGCAAGGAAAATACATCCATTGAAACCCACTCGGTCCTAGTGAATTGTTGGTAGGTCGAGGAATAGGTGCTAGACAGGCTGCAGAGATATGTGAAGCATCAGGAACGAGCGCAGTCATGTCATTAAAAAATGTCCCCGTGGAAAAGTAAACATTTTCAGCATGTCAAAATTAATGCCGTATTAATTGCTCAACAATACAATGGTAATGATCGTACATACTCAGCTCGAGATCCATCTTGCTCACGGACATAGTTTATCAAAGAAGTTATTATCCAGAAGAGAAGGCACCGAATATGCATCACTAACTGCAGTGACTAAACTTTTAGAATCTCCATGAATTTACTGCTGTTCCTTGGAGGAAGAAAATATCTTGTTGGTATGAGTATTGGGTCGCTATGGGTCATTATGAATCCAATTCTTCTGATGGGCCCTCAAACCGTCTCAGATTTTTTTTCTCCTCTGAAAGGTATTATAAGAAAGCCCTAAATCTTAATTTCATTTAATTACGGGAGAAGTAATTCTCAAGATAAGTCGATTGGTTTTTAAAACTTGAGATAGAACTTAATCAAGCAAAAACAGTTGAACTTTGGCTAGTCCAAAGTTCTGAAGTTATTGACTGGTTTTGAGGGGACTGAAGTTATTGACTGGTTCTCTTTCTTTTTGCGAAAGGGAGGCTGTGAACAATTATTTCGAAGAAAGTTTTGTTAGGATATATTTTTTGGGTACTTGCCATCCCTGAAAGTTGACAAATTGCCCTAAGTTTCACAGTTTTATCACCTTTACTTCCCGTCTCTATTAATGCAAGAGAATTCCAGCATAAAATGTGAGAGTCAATTTGCCTCTTTCCTACTAGTGGCGTGCCCACTATGGTGAAGATGAGTGGTAACCCCGTCTGTGGGCGTGGTTTGTGCGGTCCCCAGTTGGTCTAAACAAATTTAAACGAAATCGAGGACAGACCATAGATGGTGTTGGGCTGGCACGCGGGATGTCTAGATTCAAATCCGATCGGCTGCATGCGTTTCACCCGACTGCTTTTTGGGTACTACCTGCTCTCCCTTGGGCTCTGCATGAGTCACTCTGAGCTCCATGACGTGAGAGGCAGAGAATTGGCGCGCCCTCCGTCGCTCCGCCACAGTGATGGAGGACCTAGTGCCTGAGCAGCATTGCTGTTGCCATCACCTTCTTCGGGCGAGTGCAAGCAGGATTTAGAGTGACAGAATGTGGGAAGGTGTAGCTATGCCGTTGGGTAGGTCCGATAAAGATCATCTGTTCTCTAATGTGCTCAGCCACCCGTGGTGCTTGTCCTCGTCAGTGTATGTCCGTCCCAGTCGATTTTGTAATGAGAAGATACGAAATTGTTGAGAGGGTTTTCTTGTACTCGCGTGATACATTGCTGCCGTGTCGATCTGGAACGGGGAAACAGAATTAGATTGAATACGAGGCCCAAAAATAAAATATTCCGTTCATATAATCAGAGTAGTGATGCAGACATGAGGAATGGATACCCTCCTCAGGCACATGTTACATATGCCGTGGGGATACAGGAAGGAACCAATCCCCATTGTTCCATTTACGTCGGTGTTTCACTTGTGAAAGCAGCTCTGAGACTCACGACAGGCGATGAATCTGACCTTTCAATGCAGGGGCATGCTGGGCTCGATATTAAATCTGTCCTCCCCCCCAACACTCCCCCTCTCCACCTCTTCCCGCACCCACCCTCTGTTCTCTATTCGGCTTACTCTTCTTCCCCCCCCCCTTTCTTTCTCTCTCCCGCCAACAGCAGGGGTCCCGGTTATAACAGAGTGTAACAAGAGGCGGCACTTCTCTCGAATCCCATTCATCGACAGGGTCGCAATATTGATGTCACCGTCGATCTTCCACTCTGCTGACACCCGTCAATAGTTCCTTCATGGCTAAGCAATGGCCAGGGTCTCCCTTTGCGTCGAATCGTTACCGCTGTCACGAAGCACCCCGCGCGGAAGCGTAGCTGATAATGGGCCACCAGATGTTTGTAGCATTTGGACCTCCACCCCCTATCTCTCTGTGTGTCGCCTGTAGTTATAGATCCCATCTCGGCGCCCACCCTATAAGGTAGATGGTGCTTGGAGGATATTGTTCCAAAAGTATTTAGAAGCTAGAAATTCGTGCGATGGAATCTGGCATAGACGTAGCTGTAGGATCGATTTTATGCGGTCAGATAGAAGTGTCGTTTGGACATGCCGAATGATAAAGTGAAAGCAAATGTAATAGTGAGAGCTGAAACTCATGAGCACAAAGGGGACTCGAGCAACAAAACTGCCAAAGTCCTCTGTTTGATTGTTCTGCAGATTCCTTTGAGAGAATATTCCACATCTCATCACATTTCTGATGAAATATAGGTAATTCCCTCTTCTGAAAGTGGGCAGAAGACGTTATGAGAGCCATGCTTCTCTCACTCTTGACTAACTCGTCATTTTCTTATGGCCCAATCGAGCGGATGACCCCTAACAATCGCATACTGATAAAAAAAAAAAAAAAAACACTCTCCGTTTCCTTTTGGCACTAATCGCACTCGACCTCCTGCTTCCATAATCAGCGTCGTAGCAGGAGGATTAAAGCCCCCTCAGTTTGTTTAGTTGACCCACCATGGTCGAAATCATCCACCTACTACCTCAACTTCCCTCCCCCCGCGTCGTTGGAAAGAATTTCTGCTATGTTTGCTGGGAGGCTAGAAAAATTCTAACTTCCTTTTGAACTGCCTTCACCTCTTGTAAAACTTGCATCCAGCTGATTTCCTCTTTGGGAAGTCCTGGGTGTCAAAAGTTATTCGATGGACAAACCCATACGCTATTAACTTCCTTTCGTTTCTCTTATCCCCCCCCCCCCCCCCCCCCCCACCCTTCTTGGTGAATTTCCAGCTATGCTACTGAACTCAATTTCCCTTTTTAATTAGCTGCGAGTCCAATATTCTTCCTGCTTCGCTAGGTTGCTCGTTCACCGATAAGAATCCCGCTCTCCATTGTTCTTCAATTGAATACGCGATACCTTAGGACTGGTTTGAACATGCGGAACACTGTTCCTGTCGTGGAATGTTTGCCCAGTCGGGTAATGGTGAAACATTCTAATGAAGCGAACATTAAACGTTTATGATGAACATTTTACTAGATGGAATTCATATAAAGCAGTGGAGCGCTGCACATTAGTGGAGCATGCTAAACTCGTGTTCAACCCAATGAAGTATTCTATTCGCTTCAAGAATGTTTCACCAGAGTGCGGCCGGGCTTGGAGCTGCTCATAAACCTTGCCATCTGGCTGTGTACTTGACGCAACCGAATCAATATTGAGACCTAGAAAACACGTATAACTCGAAGGAATTTCGATGGTAATGTGGTTCGTGTATTTAAGAGAAAAGTTATTAATGACATTCCGAAAGAAGTTTCAAGGTAAAGCTTTTGTAGGTGGAATCGAAAATCTGGCAACGCTGCGACGCACACGCACGCCGCCATTGTGTTGAGAGCTGGAACGGCAAATACCACCATCGCTGAATCTCGAATGTGCTAGTTTGCTAAACCCAACCCTTGACTAGACCATAGAGCGTAGGCTTATTGTTCTAGATATCTAATAGCTTGGAGGCCCACTCTCGTAATGCAGTTCTCTTCCGTTTTTGCTTTTTTGCTCATAAGGTTCATCCACGAAGGGAAAGTCCAGGCCGACCGGCATGAAGCACGAAAACGTGAAAGATGAGGAGCCCAAGAGAGGTAAGCCCAGACCTGTCAGATCTATCTAAGGCATGATGTTAGTGTAAAGGCACGACTTCTTAGACCTAAAAGTGAAGCATTTTATTCATAACTGCTCGTTGCATGCTGAGGTTTCAGCTTTCCTGATTGAGTAGGATACTTATCAAATTGGGCCTTTTTGACTCATTTGTTGCCATTACTTTGCATGTGTTCGACTCGAGTGAGATTGAGCTCTATTGGAAGTGCCTGTAAGACTTAGGTCTTGTTGGCTGTATGATAAATCTGTGAAAGTTGGTCCAGTACTTAGAATCATTGGAATATGGCTGATTTGCAATGCAGTATCAGGAGTTGACTGTAATAGTTACTTACCAGGTTGTCTGATCCTTGCACCAGTCATATCACTATCCCAGGTTCTCCCACGTGTGTAAGCTGTGCCATGATGTGGGACAAGGAATTCCTTCTGCTGTTATATTACTATCTCCATGACCAACCCTTAAGCCCAATAGAGGTGTAAGATGATTTGCTGAAAAGAAACAGAATTAACTGAAGTTGAGAGCAAATATATTTTTGCTACAGGTCTAGAAGAACTTCTTCATACTGGGTTCATGATGTAGGTTTAATAGGTACTGGGTTCATGATGTAGGTAATGTAGGTTTAAAATGTTGCTCTTGATTGAAACTCTGTAAATGTGTCTTGGGAAGGCCTATATTCAGAGCCTATTGACTGTTATAATTATCATATATCAAGCATGTGACGTTTACTGCTAATGATTCCATTCAAGTAAGGAGTGTAATTTGAAATAACAACTGTGAGGCTCAGTTCAGGAAGGGAATGTCTCAGCTCTGTTTGTTGACCAATGTCCTCCCACTCATATTCATTTATCTACCCTCTACAGATGGTGTTCTGGATAAGGTGCTTCTGTATTCTCATGACAACATGCAGATCTACCTCACAAAATCTTTGTGATATCCTAAATAGGTCAATAGCATCATGAGCTAATGCCAACATCAATGCTATGAAAGTCATCCTTCTAACCTTCTGTAACAAAGAAACATGAGTAACTTTGAAATTCAAATTTTTTTTTAGTTGCACCCCTTCTTGAGCATGAATTATCCAAAACTGACCTTAGCTTAGCAGGAAAAAAGTGCCAGTGAAGCCACTCAACTTTTGAATTGATCAGGAAAGGAGTCTTGGAAGGCTGTTCTCATCAAACCAGGAGATCTATGGTGAAATTTTGAATTTTGGTCAAATATTATTGCATATCCATGCAACATTTTAAAAGTCAACTACATTTTTACATATATATTTTTTGAGTGTGCAGAAATACCATGTTTTGCTTGCTCTACTCAAGGAAAGCAGACATTGTTGTGGAGATATTCTGTTAGGTGCTAGTAGGGATATGCTAAGGATTATCCAAACATAACTAGTACCAGCTTTTGAGTAATGGGAATCCCCTTTCAAAGGCACTCTTGTAACTTAGTGAATAGTCCTATAATTCAAGTTTTAATATATTTCATGCTAAGTCTCAGTTCGTGGCAAGAGCTGCCAGTTGGTAATCCCTTTTCCAAGGCAAAGGTGACTGGAATTGGGTAGATGAAGAATTGGTCACTATTCTGCATAGCTTATGAGTAGATGTTCATATTCTTTGATTTCTCATCCATGAAATGGTTTTTTTTTTTTTTTACACAGATAGGAAGAAGAGAAGCCGCTCAAGGGACAGGAAGAAGAGATCTCGATCAAGGGGTAGACGCTCAAAGTCCCGTTCTAGAGACAGAAAGAGGAGCCGTTCAAAGTCAAAGGAGCGCAAGATAAAGAGGAGGAAGCCCTCTCAGTATTGGGATGTCCCTCCAATGGGATTTGAGCACATCACTCCTCTCCAGTACAAAGCAATGCAAGGTTGGCTGCTATCAAGTTGAGCTTACCCAGTCTAGCTTTTTGTTAGATGATAGCTGGCAGCCTTTTGATGTTTTGGTAATGCCTCTCAATGATGTAATTTTTGAGTGAATTAATGACTGTATTCTTGCCATCTCTATTGACAACTCGCATATGATTTAATTTGATTAAATTGATGGCTAAGATGCCATTTCCCAGGCCAATGAAACTTGATATATTCAAAGAAATTTTTGCTTTACAGAAATGGTATGATCATATGTTTAGGTGAATTGCTACTGGTTTTACATAATTATGGGTGTAGGAGGAGTACTGATGTCAGTAACATGCCATGTCACCAATCTAGGATTAGCTGATAATGATACTGATTCTGGTGTCATGGTATCTGCTGATACCAATACTGGTACAGGTAACTCCCAGTGGCTGTCAGAAGTGAAACCACAATACAGGACCAGACCTTAGTAGGCCTTATGTTACCTTTGGCATAGAAAGGAAGAAATAAAAATATCCTTGAACACAAATGACCCAGCATTCAAAATTCCCATTGTTTATTTAGCTCTGGGAGACATTTACATCAGCCAATATAATAGCTTTTGAGTATAGATTGAGTATAGATAGACAAGATTTCCTCGCCATTCACCAGGCCCGTCGGAAATGTCAGATGTAGGTACTACGTACAAAGAACGATCAGTGTGAAGAGGAGTAGAGGTAGGAATTACGTTTAATGTCCTTAAGGGATTAAGGAGTTGATGCAACTATGTCTGGGATTGGTGCTTGAGAGGAGAGCCAGAGGTGGGATGGACGTGAGCACAAGGTGTGCCTTTGCAAACTAGTCAGCACAGGAAGGCAGGAGGATGGAAGGGGGGAAAGTGAAGAAATAAATATGTACATGAATAACACTGGTCCATTCTATTTGTTAAATGCCCTTCTCAAATTTTCTCTCACGTTCTACTTTAATCATACTCAAACTCATTGTCTCTCAGTTGGAGATAGACAAGAACTATGGTGGGCACTTAAAGAACTGTATGCCATTATGAGTGGTTTTGTTTTAATGAGATGTACCAAAAATTTATGTGCTGCTCATTAAGCATGGTGTGCAGCAGGGGAGAATCAGATTGGATTGGCTTATAGATATTGGCTGATACCAACCCTGACCGATCCACTTGGTATTGGCAGATACCTGTACTTTGGATTGGTATTGGTACATTCCTACTGCACACTGTATTCAATGATGGCAACCGGGATGAAGGTCCAGTTGTGAGTAACCAATTCGGTGTCAAAGGCCAAAGAGCGAGAAAAGGGTCATGACCTTTGACTGAAACCCTTTTCTAACCCTACTGACCCAGTAGGGTAGGGTTGATTTTCTCACTCTTGGCCCAACATAAAAGGAATGCAGCTCCTTTGGTTTGTGTTTATAGTTAGTTCTAAGCTGTGCACTGGGGTTGTGTGAAAACCCAAAAAAGCTGGTGAAATGTTAGTCTGTGTCTCTAGCTCCTCAATGATTATGAAACTGATGAAATTCCTAAATCTTATGGGTGGAAGGGACAGAGGTTGCACAGAATGGGGTTAGAATGGAGACAAGGACAGACAGTGCACTCAGCTCCTATCATGCAAAATGGTGTGCTTGTAACAGTGTGAGTATTCCAAGTCATGCAGTTAATGGTTATGTACATTTATCTCAAGAAATGCTGACTAAGCAAATTTCAGTAATGTTTTGTGGGAACCCATGAACACCTCTTTCATGCATGTTATTCAATTGAAAAGTAAGCAATTGTATTGGCCTGCGAAATGGCACCTCAACAGAATTGACCTTCAATGAAGGTGCAATGTCCTCTGCAAGTCATTTCTATTTCAGATTTGAATTTTTTAACTCTCGATTTTTCCCCATTCAATTTTTTGCAGCTGCAGGCCAGATCCCTGCGACAGTAACTCCAGAGACACCACAAGCAGCAGTTCCAGTAGTAGGTTCTACCATCACCAGACAGGCTAGACGATTATATGTTGGAAATATACCATTTGGAGTTACTGAGGTAAGGGAGTCTTCAATTCTTCCCAGGCAACTTTATGCAAATTTACAATTGCTTGGCAACTCACGCTGTTCATATATTTTTTTCCCCTCGTGCAGGAGGAGATGATGGACTTCTTCAATCAGCAGATGCATTTGACTGGACTTGCTCAGGCAGCTGGTAATCCAATCCTGGCCTGCCAAGTCAACCTGGATAAAAACTTTGTTTTCCTGGAAGTAAGTGGACTTGGCATAACTTTTATTCAGTCTTAGAAACTCAAGTGCTTATGTCCCATCTCTTAAAATCATAGAGATATTGGTATTGTTTAGGTGAGAGCTGTGCACCATACTTCCCTCTTTTATCTTTACGCTATTGATTCATTCTACATTTGACTCCTGTCCTGTTCAAATTAAATCGCTCTGGCAACTTATGGTAAAGAACTTTAGCTTCATTCATACTGTTCAGTCTGGTCTAAAATGCAACTTTTGCATATTAAAAGTTTTTATCCTGCCATAGTTTTAGGCTGGAGCAAGATGCATTACTATGTAGAACCTATGCATGTGGAAGCGAAATACTAGTAAGAGTAAATGTCATTGATGTATCATATTCTTTGGATTTGTTATAGTTTCGATCCATTGATGAAACAACTCAGGCTATGGCTTTTGATGGCATCAACTTCAAGGGCCAGAGCCTGAAAATACGACGTCCTCATGATTATCAGCCCATGCATGGCCTTTCAGAGAATCCCAACATCAGTGTACCAGGTGGGTGAAGCTCCTTCATCAAGTCATTAATCTCCTTCATCATCTCTGAAACTCAGTGATTGGATGAAGTCTCTTGCTTTTGATCTTCCACCAACTGATTGTGTTTTCCCATCTAGGTGTCATCAGTACTGTGGTGCCTGATTCCCCTCACAAAGTCTTCGTGGGAGGACTCCCCAACTATCTCAATGAGGATCAGGTAAGTCTGCCTCTGGCAAGGATGATCACATTGTTACGAGTTTCTCATCAAGGTTTGAGAGAACCAGTATGGCACTGATGAATGTGGGCTGCATTGTCCTTGAGCATATTCCAGGCATATTGTGGCCTGGGGCATCCCATCATCCTTTCTCTTCCTTGCTTTATTGCAGGAGAAGTTCAGATGGTTCTGCCATTATCAGACTAGAACAAGAAAGATACGAGCACAACAGATAAATGTCTCGCAATTTCATATAAGCTGAGAAAGGCTGAAGCTCAATGGATTCCTTTCACAGCTAATAAAAGTTGAAAAGAAGAATTGTTTTTTTTCTATGTGCTAAGAATTACTTTCATATCTTCTATAATATTGGACCATGAAGAAAATCATTTTCTGTAAAGTTCTGGGAACTGGCATCTTTTCCTGTTATTTGGGGACTGCAAATCATAACCAGTCTGCATATGTTGAGGAATCAATAGTGATAGGGTATTTGTTAATTTTGTCAGGGATCATCATACCCTTCATTTCAGCAGGCTGTAGTCCTCCCATTTGGAGTTGTGACTTTCATGTATAGCTGTGCATTTCCTTGTTATAAGGGGATCTTTATATCAATAGGATGCAAGAACACGGTCAGGACTGCATGGCAACATCCTTAAAGGGAATTAAGCGAAGAAACAGAATTAATCTAGAATGAGAGGGATGTGGCAGAGTGAGTGGGCAGTGTAGTATGATTCTTGACCACATTCCCTTTAGGCAGGCAGGCAGGCTTGAATAATAAGTAGATCACAGTATTTCCCAGGATTATTGCCTGCTATCCCCTCCCCTGCCTTGTTGAACAGGATGTCTAGTATGCCATGCAAAACCTGTTATGGAATTGCTTTGAATGAATCAGAGAATATGAGAAAAATGCACCCATCATTGAATAGGAGGAAGCTTTCTATTGCTTGCTATTTCTCTGCAAAATATATTTTGTAGTGGCCTCCATTCTGATTCTGAGTGTGTGATGAAGTAATTGCCTTCTGAGCATCATAGTTGATGGTGCAGACTTGTTGCACTTGGCATAGAAGGATTATATGTACACTCCCAAACCACAGAAATTTACTGAGATGTGAGATTTCCCTCAGGAAAGCTCTAAGAGTGAGATGTGTACAAGCCAAGATGTTTGCAAATAAGTTGACAGATCTTTATCAAAGTTGAGAAATACGAGAATCTGAATGAAGGCCACACATAGGAAAAATATGCTCCAGATGGTGGTAGTGAAATTCCAGGGTGTGAAGTGTGTTACATAACTGTCAGAAGTCCCTGCAGTAGTATTTAGAAAAAGGTTTTTTTTTTTTCATTTTTTTTTTTTTAGCAACTTTGTTTTCTAAATATTATTTATTCCCTTTCTGTTTCATTGATATTCCAAAAAGAAAGCATTTTATGACTTGAAACTTCCTGTTCTCCCCTTTTTGGAAAGAATATTGGTGTCCTATCCCTCAGGATGGGAATAATTTACCTAATGAACATGATCATCAATTTCAGTTGGTGTGTATGGTTCTCTTGCTTTAAAACTGTTTGTAACTCAAATTTTCATTATTCAGTGCTTAACCTCTTTTTTACTTTCTAGGGATGAAAGGGAAGAAGTCCAGAGAGTAATTTTTTTGGTGAATCATTTTAAATGATAAATAATGGGGGACATCCCCCCACCCCCTAGAGAAAAAGACTTCCTGGCTGCATCCCTGATACAATGCATTGGTATAAAGATCCCTTTGTAGTTTCTGTTCCCTCTTTCATATGCAGACTTCATTTTAGCATTGCTTTGGTGTAATAACTGTCTGTTGTGATTTCCTCAACAGACCTCTTCAGGGCTCGAAAAATCACCTCAGAAGCAGGTACCTACTTGGCTAAAAACAGGCAGCCCATTTCTGGTACTTGGTTGCTAAATTTTTTGTGGGATTAATTTTTCACTTTTACTACAACTGTAGAAGCATTAGCTGCAGGTACTGGTACTGTGACTAAGGCATTGATTACATTGGCATCTCTGGTTTACTATTATCTTTTGTGTCAGTCCTAGGTGTAATGGTAGGCCTCTATGAACCAGGTTGATCATCTTAGTGAGTCCTATCTAAATTTTTCTCTGTTTATAAACTTTCTGAATAGAAATTTAAAAGCCCTCCTAGTGGAAGGAGTAATTGATAATTCTGACTGGCTCTCAGCATCATCCTTCATGTTGTTGAGCTTATGCTCACTTTTGCTTATGGGTCCAGGCCTTGACCTGATCTTTGGCCTTCCTTTTCGATCATAGATAGGCCAATCCAATCTGATGTGATCAACATGAGAGTCAAAAGGGGAGAACACATTTCTTTCTCCAAATTAAGGATAGTTTTTCCCATTGGAGAACTGCAAAGTAGGTATGAAGACAGGGATATACTTGAACCATAAGTAGTCATCTCACCTAATGGTTCTGGTATTTCCAAAGCATGAAGTGATACTGTTACCAGCTGTATTGGTTTGCCATCTCCTTATGCAATATGTAATTGAGGGATCTTCAATGCATCACAGTTTCAAGTTACAATGGGAAAAAGCCCCAAAATAGGTCAGTGTAGATCAAGGATTGAGTTGCATTGAGCTGAAAATCTGGTCACCACCTTGTCAACCTAATCAAGTTTCAATTACCAATTGTAAAATTTTTAGTTATATGTGACTATGTTTCAGTCTGATTTTTCGAGCCCTGCTTGTCATCAAAGGTATGTGATGACCTAAGCAATTTCACTTCTGGAGGTTGTCAGTGGTGAAGGAAATTCAGTCAGTATCCTTCTTGGAGGCATTTTTAAAATATTCTATCTCATTCTCATAATAATTTAACAGTATTTATAATCTTAAAAATCTTTACTGCCCTCTTTTGAATTTAATACTTTACTGCAAACTTGGCAATATCATTGTCTATACTTATTTTTTTCTATCATTGCAGCAATATTGCTATACAGGTAGGTATACATCAGAATCCCCTTTAGGAAAAGTTTATATATTTGGAGACCACAGATTTGAAGATTTAGAGATTTGCCCAGCACATGACTGGTAAAATTGCAGTTGTAACTGTCAACGCCTTCCACAGAAATAACAGAGGTTAATTTTCAATGATGGAGGTGTTGAATGTAGATATTCTGAGAGCTTCTGAACATCACTTACTTGAGAAATACCCATTAAAAGAAAGCATTACAGTCTTGTGTTTTCAGGCTGAAAACTGATGAGCCTTCTGTTTTTTCTCCCCCCCTTCTGTTTCGTAGCTTAGGGGTTGCGGGCAGACCCTAGGTCCATGCATACCGTATTTGCAACAAGTCTGTGCAACTTTGCAATGCCCTTGATACTTTTACAAAGGCAAGTTTTCTCGCTTTTGTCCCCGATTCGGGTAACGTCCTTCCTCCTGGTCTGGTACTATAGAGAGGCTTAGGCCTATACATGTGCTTTGCAGGGCAAGGCCAGGTGGCTTCTTCTCATCTCAGGTGGGCACTCAGAACTTGTGCCTCTCATTATTCTCTGTACCCTCTTTTATTCCCTTTTAGTTAATTTTTACTGTTCCCATGTAAATTTTATTCTCAGCTTGTTGAATGTATCCTCATTTTTATATACATCTTAAGAGGCACAGTATATGGACCTACAAGTTATAGAGATACAAGATTTCTAGAGCGACAAGAGAAGGTGCTGAGTTCCCTATATAATTCTCAGAGGATCTTGTCCAGTGATGTATGATATCATGGATCCTTGCAAAGTATTATAATTTCATTCCTACTGATAAGGCTGGAACTGGTACTCCAACACCTGTAATGTTTCCCTCCCATCAGGTCAGGAGACAGAATATGCCAGGAAAATCAGTTGGCATCTGTCCTGAGCATGTAACTTAGTTGATACTCACATATGCTCATAGACTTACAGTTTTCAGGTTCAGACTTGGATCTACTATAAGAGGTAAGGTCATTTGCAACCAGTGGATGGGGTTTTTTCAAAAGAGCCTAGCATCATGTGCTGCAGCAATGCTTTTCAGTTATGGATTAAATGCACAGTGATATGAACTTTCAAGTTCAACCACTCATCTCTGATCATGCTGCTGGGTTATACACAGCTCATTTCTTAACTATCCTCCAACATTTACCCTCCTATGCATGAAAGTAGGCAATGCTAACTCCTAGAACCTTTCTATCCTAGGAAAGTAGCCAACTGTCCCAAGTGGGATAGGCATATAAAAAGAAATTCTCATGAAGCAGTAAATGAAGGGAAATTTGGAATGAGATCAACACAGGTGGACTATGTGATTGGTTGTTTCATTGTGTAAACTTCTGATGGAAGCAATCATTTCAAGCATCCCCTGCCTTGTTTAATTTCAAAGTTTTGTTGCCTCAGAACTTCAAGTATTTTTCCCCTGGGGCAGATTATAGATGGAATTTTAGGCCTTTGGCATCCTATAAGGCATTTGTCTGAAGGGAAAGGAAGCCATAGGTAGTGTTGGTACAGAAGCTATACCACGTGAATTCAAGTGTGAAATACTAATTTTTATCTGCCAAATTGGTAAAAAAAAATGCAGTGGTGATATGCAACTCATGGTAGGTTTATAAAATGAAATCTGAGAGAAGTAAAGAAGAATTATACCTTTAGCAACAAAAAAAAAAGGACCTAGATCAGTTTGGTGAGAATGAATCTCACCAATTCAGAATCCCAACATGATTTTTCTCCTTTGAAAGATGCTTAAGATTTGATCAGTTAGGGTGCCTCCATGGATCTGAGGCAATATCTCACCCTGTCATGAATGTGGCCAAATGCTGAGAAAGTTTGCCTGGACTTTGCTCATTAACCCTTTGAGGAGGATGAACATACTGAAAGGGTTAAGTTGTTAAGTTGTTCATACTCCAGAAAGGGTATCATCCAGTCCTTTTCCATCTTGGTGTACATCACAAGTATCTCTGGATGTATTTGATTTATGACATCAGATTGCAGGGAGTGATGAAGTCACTACTGAGCATCTGTGAGTGTTAGTCTCTGGAATTTTTTTTTTCAGCTCCCTCTCCATCTTTTCTCTTTGTTTTCATTGGGATTATTAGCACATACTGCCTGCACCTGAGAATTAGCCATGATCAGTATTATTGACTGTTTTGCCTATACATGAAATCTCAACCAGCTTTCTTCAAGAAATTCACTGACTGACCTTTACTGCTATTGGGCTGTTCAAGATAGAGATCATAGCTACCTTCTGCCACATTAATTCGTTCAATCACGAATTATTTTCTGTCATATTTCATGCAATTTCTTTCAATTTTGTTGGTACACATTGGGCCTGAAGACTGGAAATTGTCCCATGACTTACAATACTCTGACCTAGTATATGATAAAGCAAGCTGGATATGAGAGTGCTCAGGTGATTTGTTAAGAAAAATGCATTTTTTTATGGAATAATGGAGGAAGAGAAGAGAACCTACCAAGGTAAATGAGAATTAGGAGTTTTTTGCAACAATGTAACAAAGACTCAGGCATTCTTCTCCTTATGAGGAAAACTTATTTTTTTTTTATAATGAACAAAAGATGAGTTATGAAGTTGCAAAATTTAATGCAAGTGGTGCTTTATCACGTTTTAGGCTAAAATATAGCAGACCATGAGAAAAGTTTCAAATCTGTGGCAAGTATTCACAGAGAAAAGAAAATAGATTGCTTGAAGAACATTATGTCATAAGATTTCATGAAGTAATTGTGTAGTGTTTAGCACCACAGATTATTCTTTCTGCTATGGAATGAAGCAGACCCTGGATTCTGTGAACTTTTAAGAACAATGGTATAGATACATCTGGATAATCAATACCTCTAACTCCATTCTCCCCACTTGGAGTATGTATTCTCTGTATAAAAACCCTTGGTTCTAAGGGAATAATTCTGATGCCAACTTTATCACACAAATGATGAAATTGCAGTTCACCTATTCCTGAGAAGTCTTGCAAACTAAGCCAGAATTGTTGCTGATAGCAAATTCCAGTGGCAACACCTGAGTGCATGGGTGTAGGTAAGAGTTGATTTCCTGTTTTCAAATGAAGAATGACATATTGCATTCTCAAGTTCCAATGATGCCATCACAGTCACACATTATTATGCCTCTAAAGTTATCTCAGCATGCTACAGACTTGCACTACTGACTGCAGCATATGGCAGAATGTGCACCAGCTGACCATCCTCTCTATCCTGCTTGATGAGGGATGTATATGTTGCTGGATTCTCTGCTGGTTCTTCATCTTATGATCATCCCTTAGAGGAGAATCATGTGAAGTCTTAAGTTCTAGTTCTGAAGAATCTCCTGACTTGGCCTTGGACAGGAAGAGCAGAGGTTGCCATCAGTGTCAGTTCATTACTAGTCCTGTGGTATAGGCCAGCATACATGTGAGTGTTCCATTGAGGGATGCCCCAGAACAGTGAACCCAGTCACCATCCTGCATGAGTGCAGTGGACACAGGGGGCACACAGAAACTCACTATATGACTCCGATCTTGGTCTACGCTTTGCACATCTGGGGATGTGTTGCTTCTCCAAACCTATGCCAGACTCTTTGAAGTTGTACTTACTGTAGAGTCTGGGCTGATAAAGTCTTCACATCTGGACTTGTGTTCAGTCAGTTTCATGTATGCCTTCATCCTATGTAGGTCAAGGAGCTGCTGATGTCTTTTGGACAACTACGGGCATTCAATCTCGTCAAGGATTCAGCCACTGGTCTCTCCAAAGGCTTTGCATTCTGTGCATATGCTGATGTTTCCATCACAGACCATGTAAGATCCTTCAATGCATATAATATTGACTTCCTCAGGCAGCAAGTATAGAGAAGCCCTAAAGATTTTCTTCTTCCAACTAATATTTTCTTGCACTGAACATTAAAGGGAGATTTATCCTACCTCATATTTAACACGTTCCCTGTGGCTCCAAAACTGATGACAACTAATTACACACAGAGCTACCCACTGGTGTGTTATGCTGCAGGGAAGGTGTTAATGTGCATTCAATTTTTTTCCTTTTTTCTTATTTTTGTGGAAAACATACTTACATTCCATATCTTAGAGGAAGACCCACCTCTTCATCATAATGTAAAGAAGCGTATACTGTATGTAGAGGTGATAGCTGCTCCCCCACTCAGGTGAATGCAATTCTTGAGGGCTGTACAGATGCTGTAGAGCTATGCCTGTGGTAAATAGGATGTAAAGCATTCATTCCCTGCTTGAGTCTAACTCCATCCATGAATCTTGTGAAGGAAATGACAAAGACTTAAGTAATTCAATTACTGCATTGTGATAAATTATTGACAAAAAATATTGAGCAATGAATTTCATACAGTTTCAGAAGGGAGAGAATGATAGGAGTTCCCATCTTGTAATTTAACCTGTGCCTAATTTGAGACTCAAAGAAGTATAAGAAGTATATAATTATATCTGAATGGGGTGATGTTTGGCCACTTATTATTTAACCCTACCCTCATTCCTAACCCAATCATTTGCCAATACTTCAGCACTTGTCTTACCTTTAAACCTGATACTTGCTCAGACCAAGACCTAGCTTCATTCATGAACTCCAATGTCATGTTCAAGGTTGTCTTTGGAATTATTATATAGGAAGGTAAAGGTGGGTAATATTGTGTCCATGACTAACACCTATTGCTATACTTGAGCCTTCTCAAAGTCTTTCTAGGTCAATGTCAAAGCCCAATTTTCCACAAGATTCATTGATGAGACACCCTGAAGGGGAAATATGTTTAATGTAATAGGTTGCTGCTACAGCACAGCATAAAAATATAGTTGAGGATGGAAGTCTGCATGTGATTTGTTCTGCATGTTAACAGTCATTTGTAGATCAATAGTGCCTTTGTCTCATGGCAAACAGCCATGAGACTAAACTTAAAGGAGTACTGCATGTTTCCAGATGAGATTGGATTTCACCAGATGTTTTAATTAAGGAAGCTATATATCCATAGTGCAAGCAAGGTTGCTACCAAAGCATTCCCCACAGGATCACTTAGCCTTTTTGGAACTCTAGATGTGCATTTTTATTTATTCTGCTAATTTTTTTCCAATCAGGCCATTGCAGGTCTTAATGGAATGCAACTGGGAGAGAAGAAATTAATTGTTCAACGAGCCAGTGTTGGGGCAAAGAACCAGATGTCAGGCCAGCCACCTGTCCAGATTCAAGTTCCTGGACTTGTCTTGAATGCTTCTGGCCCTCCAACTGAGGCAAGAAAAGCTAGAAAATAATACATATATCTCAATTCTTTCTTCCCATAACTGCCAACATTAATTCACTAGTGGATATTTTTTTCTTCCCTAGGTCCTTTGTCTCATGAACATGGTGACACCAGATGAATTGAAGGATGAAGAGGAATATGAAGACATTGTGGAGGATATCAGGGAAGAATGTAACAAGTATGGTGTTGTCCGGTCATTGGAGATCCCTCGTCCAATTGAAGGTGTGGATGTCCCTGGCCTGGGCAAGGTGAGAACAGATCCCAACTTTCATAAATATTTTTTCTTCAAATGACCTTAGAGAAGCTTTTCATTGGAAACCAAGTCTGACCATAATGAATTGTATGGCTGAATATATTATGATGTGTGCAGTCCTAGACTATTAGAGAATATTCCCTGTTGGTATGGTAAAGAAAAGTGAAAGTAAGTAAAAAGTAGGTTATTTATTTCTTGCATACTTATGCTTTCTTTGCAGTACTTCTTGAAATGTCCTCTAATTGCATGAAGCAGTAACTTCTTAAAGGAAATTAATTTCTGCTCCAGTGGAGATACTCAGTCATGAGGACAAGTGTTCTGAGTTAACCCTTGTTGAGTCAGAATCTTGATGAGGTTTGGATTTGTGTTGCAGGTTTTCATCGAGTTCAACTCGGTGATCGACTGTCAGAAAGCACAGCAAGCGTTGGCAGGTCGCAAGTTTAACCAGCGTGTTGTTGTTACATCATATTATGATCCTGACAAGTATCATCGACGGGAGTTTTGACGAACCAATTCACTTTCTGCTCTCCAAGTTTTGTTTCTTTCTGTATATAATTATATCTAATGAACCCCCGGCTGCATTGTCAACTCCCCATAAGCCCTAAATAGGGTTGAAGCTCTAAGTGTAGCCAATTGACTCCAGTTTCACTTCATTAGTGAAGCGGCAATTCCTGTTCTGGATCTCTCTTCCCCACTTTTTGAACTCCTATTTCTTTCGGATATGGTAATTCAGCAGTAAGAATGCACTTGTCCATTGCTCATTTCTCAGTGTCATAAGTATATCATCTTGAATTGCTATAAATTTGCCAAATATCCAGAGACAAGATTCATCCTGAATTCATGGACACATTGCAAGTTTAATAATTATGCCACTCTTAGTTGATGCTGGGAAACCAGTGAACATCATGAGCAGTTCAGCATTTGTCAGATACAATTTTAATAATAAAGAATCATTTCTTTCAGCAGTGAAGAAAGGGCCCCAGCTAGTTCAATGTATAATTTCCATAAAGGAAGCATGTCAGAGTTTTTTTCCTCAATCCTCAAGTGGGGGAGAAGAGGATGTGAAACCTCATTCTCTGCCACTCATGAAGGACATGAAGAAAAGGATGAATCACTCCATGTTTTCTCTTAGGTGCATCTGACAACTTCCTCCAGGCCTTCCACGATGATCGCATGAGAAAGATGTTGAACTCGTCACAAAATAGAACATTTACACAGTTTTTCTCCTCCGCTTTACGCTTGGAAAGTTATGGGAATCTCTCTCTTACTCGAATCTGCAAGTGTTACATACCTGTAGTAAACCAATCATATTTCCTATGGGGGGGGGGGGGGGGAACTCGACGTAAATCTGAGGGAACACATATCGACGGGTGCAAAGGAGCTGCGTCTTGTTAATTGCAATATTGATAGGACTGTATCGTGCTATTAAGCCTGCCACACACAAGGCAATTTTTGTTGCTCCACCGTTGCGCGACAGTCGCTCCAAATGATATTGTTCTGTGTGCGGGGTGCTGCGATGGTAGCGCGGCCATCGTCAGCATATTGCTCTGCTCAGTTTTTCAGCGATAAATATTCCCGTTTCTCGACTGTTGCTCCGTGTGCGGGGGGTCCTGCGATGTAGGCCCGCCCAAATTCCAGCATCGACCTATCATGTGGTCACCTATAATCTCGATATGGTAGCTTTTTAAATTTTAGATCCGCATTGCATATCCCATTGCATGCAGATTGCTCCGTGTGTGGGGTCCCATCTGCGACGATCGCGCGACGGTGGAGCAGAAAAAATTGCCTCGTGTGCGGCGGGCTTGACACTATTGCTCCATCGTTAGCGTTTCTTGTTGCAGGAGCCACTGATGCTAAAGTTGGCGCAAATATCGGTGATGATCGTAGGTTTCACAAATGAAGGTAGGGAAAAGGCAGAAAGGGAAGTGAGCCAGCAGTTTCCGCTCACGCTGGCGTCTTCGTCGCCGATCTTCGCACGAGGATTTCGTGCAATTGGAAGGATGGTGACTGCAGGAACTGCATTCGAGTGAACGGGATGAGTCTCCTCATCCTCCTCAAAGACTCCTTCCCAGTACGTATTGGGCTCGACCCGGGTTGCATTCTCTCTTTCCTGTTCCACGTGTACATCGCTGGGATCGTAGGCGTAGCATGGGCACCGACGGTCATCGGGGTACAGGTACAGGGTGTTCAATTTATCTTGAGACCATGAGAATGTTGATTTAACGGAAAACGTTGTAATTATTTCATTTCAGATAGTAGATACCATATTAGATTAGAATGCATTCGATAAATTACATGAAGATGAGTAAATGCCAGACCTGGTTTGCGGAATTTCATTTTGAAACTCACTCAATTGTGACTGCACAGTGAACTTTCAGAAGAGAATTTCAGACACGAGACGCGCTCAGTACATCCACTTTACTGCAGTGAGTTACCGAATTTAGGGAATGATGAAATCTGTGGCTACTAAAGGACACGACCGAACACCAGTGCGAACAGCGAAGGCGATAGTCGCCATAAGCGCTTGGGGGACCAAGAATTCACTTGCCCCTGGCCTCGCAACTTCTAGATCCGAGTCTGCATTCACCCTTTCACTAGTGGCGGATCCAGAAGAGGGAGGGCGACTGCCACTCCTCTGGCCGGGTTCGCAGTCTATTTTTTAATTTAGAAAGCAAATAATTTCATGTTTATTAACTAGTGTGAAATGGATATTCAGGGTTTTTATCTCAGATGAAGTTGAATAAGGCGATGAGAGGGGGGGAGGACTGGGAACTAGGAAACAGGCCCCCCCCCCCCATATCTGCCACTCCCTTCAACAGACTTCAGCGACCGACGACGATGTATATGCTGCCAGAGAAAACTAGCAAACAAAAATTACGCCCACATAATTCAGTAGTAAGAAATTGGACTGCGGGCCCATGCCAACCGCGCGCCGCCACTGTTAGCCAGCCTACCCTGGCTAGGCTCCAATCCCCACGACTCCAATGCAGGAACGAGAAGAGAGGGACGAGAACCGCCGACCTGGAACGGCGTGGAGTATGCTTGCCTACGTAACTCCTTGCGCAGGAAAATTAGGATGGGAATCGCATGTTCACGCCCTCCGCCCAGAAGCACTTGCTTGCATCGATCGTTGTAAATTGCATTTTCTCTGCGCTCATCGCAGGCATCGAAACGATCTATGCAGCACTGAAAGCAGAGATTTGGGGAAATCTCATTGATATCTGGCTCACTATAGGCACGAATCAGTATTGGAAGGAGTGATGACGATTTTTCTGAACAACATTTTTAATTTTGGCGTTTTCATCGGCGCAGCGAAATGAGAAGACGNTCGGGACACAATCACTCGGAACCCAATCGCATTCGTGACACAGACCGAGTCTCACGACCCATGCGAACAGGAACTTCCTCGCGACCATCCTCGTCGTGCCCATTTCCAACGAGGAAATGTGGTGGAAAGATTGCACAGGAATGGTTAAGAATGATTGAGTCATATACCTAATCGGGCGTTCAGCTGATCGTGATAATGACATGGTTAGTAATGTTCATCTAATATTCCAGCAGTGGTAACGAACGTCCACCGAGTCGGCATGGCGCCCTTTCATTATCCTCGGAATCGTTTCTCTTTGTTTCTCAAACACTCGTTTTCTTCATTGCCAACATTAACTTCCATATGACACTAATTGAAGCGAATTCAGTGGCATTAGCTCCCGTGAAAGGATAGACGCAGTGCAATATGAACGACGGTAAATGCTCCTTGCATATGTAATTTCAAATTACTGTATTTCCAATCATGTCTAATTGCGTTAATGAGCAGATACTTGACGTAAAGTCAACATTTGTCTCCATACACCTTCTTGAGAGAAGACGATATCAAACGTACGGGGATATAGCCACCCCAGGTAGCCGAACATGAATGGGCCAATTAAGACAAACTAATGGCAAAGTGTCAGGAGCAAATGTGGCAGCACGACTTGGCTGGAAATGTCATTAAGGCAGAGATCTGACTATGCCTCAGGGATTATTAGGGCCCAATACTCGGACCAAAGTGGTCCATTTATAATTGCATCGTCATGTCGGATTATGGTAGCCTGATTTGAGCCATGCGGAAAGAGTCACTAAGGTCAGGCCCCCTGCTCATGGCGTTCTTGGATTGCTTATTCTTCTTCCGGTCGTTGATGACATGGGGTATGTTCTCCAGGACGGCGGCCGTGAACTCTTAGCCTTCAAAGTCTCTCACTTCGTCGTGGAAGAGGTGATCCGACAATTCCACTGATTGCAATGTCTCGCATGTTTTCCTCCACATTGGGGGCCTCGATTGCTGTCGGTGGTGTAAATACGCGACTACGCAAGTTCGTCTAAGTCTGGGTTCGCGAAATTTTCTTCAACTTATTCCAAATCGTGCTCAAAAGTGAGGTTCAAATTGAAATAATCAGACGGAGAGAGGTTTTGAAGTAGATGATCGATATGAACAAGTTCCAAGCAGGCAGCCCTCTGCAGAAAATATTCGTTATCGCCCACTGATCCACGATGTATTCCCCACTTCGAGATCGTAAATCTGATGCTCCCACTCTGGCACTAAATTCTCGCAGTCGCACTCGAAGTAACTCGAGACGCAGTCCTTCGACATCCAATCGCATTCGAGAAACAGACCGACCCAGGAAACACATCCATGTGGAAATAAAATTGAAACAATGTTTCATGTCAACATTTATAATGTTGAAACAACATTGACGGCAATATTCATACAACATTCCTCAATGAGTCCCTCGTGATTGGGTTTCTCCATGGATATAGTAGAGGTAAATTCATCAAAATGAATCGCATGACCGATGGATGATAAGCTACATATACAAAAGAGGATAAATCCTCTTCAGAATCTATAGGTCACAGAGTACTGTGAAGTTTGAGAGGATGGGTCTTCTTCATTTCTGCAAACAGCACCAAAGTCATGTATACCTAACTGGATTGAAAAACGAGGATAAATTCTCTCAACTCCTCTCTTAGGAGGTTTGTGAATGGATCACTTCACGTTATTATTGTGTGTGCTCTACATGTCTCCAATCGTCTAGATTTCTTTGCGCCCACACTAAACCTGGACATTTAAATTGTTTCAGAATCAGATGCTGCAATCAGAACATCATAATTCCACATTTCTGTAATATATGTGTCCATTAATTACGTAATAAAAAGAGGAAAGTGGGAAGAAAACGCTTTAATGGAAGGTGACAGATCCGTAATTGGATTAGGAGGCTACAAGGGAACATGGATACCATCTAGTGAGCGCTCTTGGTACTTCATTATGATCGCACCTAGACTACAGTATCCTGGTAACATAACGTCCATAAGAGGATGTGAGACGTCTCCACGATGACCGTACCGTATGATAATTGGAAATGGTTTATGTATTTGTATCTGAATTACAAAAAAATAATTATTCAAATACGTGATAATAGACGGCATGCAACTCAATAGTTGAGGACCCAGCAAACATAGTAACGTTGTGGGAACGTTCCCCCAGGGTCAATACAGTGTCATCGACGTTGAAGGTCAAAGACCAACGTTGCGTGAATATTGTTGCAGTGTTAAGGCATTATGAGACCTGATTGCAAAAATCCTAAATATTTTATGCAAATCCCATAGCTAAGAGGGGGAGGTGGCATATGTTTCATCCATAAACAGGTTTTTTTTTTATAGAAGCTTTCGCGTAGGTAGGGGCGCCGAAAACAGTCCTTCCATGCTTTGTGACTTCTGGTTATTATTTCTTTCCAGGCAATCAGGAAGACGGAAGACTGAAACCTTACTAAATGGGTACCAGCTGGTATGCAGACATAAAAGAAAATCATACCTTTGGGATATATCTTATGGGGGGATTTTTTTTTCGTGTTGGGGGGGGGGGAGGAGTCATTTTTAAAGTTGTTTTGCCTCAGTGAATGGACGGATATGGAGACCTGGAATTTGGTGCGTAAGTTGCTCACTTCT